AAAAAAAAAAAAAAGAATGAAAGCAAGGAAGCGATAAAGAGGAAACCTACAAACACAGCCACCACCCCAACACCCACCCATCCCGTCCCAATAATCGGCATGATCCAATGCGCTTTCTTATCCGCGGACCAGCCATACCACACGAGCCCAATCGGTAGACACAGACTCAAGGGGATCATCAGCGCCAGCCGGAACTCGGGTTTCCTCTCGCCTTCCTTGGTCCGGACCGCCAGACGGCGCGAGATCGGGTCGGAGAGACGGCCCATGGCGATGAGGCCGACCATCGAGCCCAGCCCCAGTCCGATGTAGGTGAGCCCGATGATGCTGACAGAGAAGTGATATTGATCGCGGTAGACCTGCGACATGGTGGTGAAGAGAAGGTACATGAACCCGTAGATTACAGCGACGTAGATCGAAAGCAGGGAGACGATTGGCGAGAGGACCAGCAGCTTAAGAGGGCGGATGATTGACTTGGTGAATAGAGCCCTCGGGGTCAAGTTGGGGTGTAGTGTGGACTGTAGGTGGGGATTGCCGGCATCGCGTTGTAGGCGTTTGGCGCGGCGAACAAGAAGGATTGGGCCGTAGGTTTCGCGGAGGGTTGTAAAAGAGATAACGGTGATGACGCCGGCCTGCATTCCATGGGTAAGTCAGTGAATGTAGGCGAACTTAGGGGTGAACTGTATACCGCAATAGCAAGCACCCAAAAAACCCAGCGCCACGACACGTCTTGGGTAAGAAATCCACCGCATACCCTTAGAAAAACGGACGGCCAATACAGGTCCTGGCATCAGCATATGGTTCTTGAGTTGGGCGATATCGGACACCGGCGAGAAAAACATACGGACCAACCACCGGCCCAATGACAGGACCAACCGCCCAAATCGCGATTGCCAGCCCCCGACGGTCCGGGGAAATGCAATCAGCCAAGGTTCCAGCTCCAAGTGCCAAAGGCGCACTTCCAAACGACCCAGCGAGGAACCGGAATCCAATCAGTGATGACATCCCTGGTGCCACTGCACAGGCAATATTAAACACTGTGAAAAGAACGTTGCAGCCGTGATAGATCGGCAATCGACCGTAGAGCTCGGACAGGGGCGCCACCACCAAAGGTCCAAAGGCAAATCCAAGAAGGTAGACTGAGACCACAAAGGATGAGATGGGCTTGCTGGTCGAGTTGAATTCATCCATAACCTGTGCTACTCCAGGCGCGAACATGGCGGAACCCAGTGGGCTGAAATCGGTATTAGCATGCGAGACTCGACGTTTACACTGAGCAAAGATTTTAACAACTGACGTGAGGAAGTTAAAGATTGAGACGGTGCCAACAGTCATCATCTTCTTTTTCGCGCTCCAGTTCATGGGATTCGCCATATCATCGGGCCCATCCCAGTCCACAATGTTTGGGGACCGCATAGACACGGCGAGTGCTCTGTTCCTCGGATCAGCCATACTAACTGTACCCGCGCAGGAGTGAGCTTTTTCTATGACTGCTCAAATTGTGGAGGCCTTTGTAGTGAACCGCGAGGGGGGGGTTCCACTGATTCAACAGCAGTAACTTTAGGATGACGAGCCAGAAAACAGACAGGGGTATAAGACTTTGGTTCAGAACCAATCCGCAGTCAGGGCAACCAGAATCCGAGTAGCTCAAAGGAGCTACTCCAGGCCATGTTAAGTAACTCGAGGCATATCCTTCGCCTTTTTTGTGAGAGAACCCCTGCCGGTTCTGGATTGGAGCTTCACCAGTCCATAAGCACGAATCTACCTTACCAGTGGAGACCAACCAACCAAATGAAGAGTTCAGCATTCTCCGACCGGGTTACAAGCCCCGAAGCAATGCGTTTGATCTCACTATTCTCCCAGTGTCGGCTTTTGGAAGCATGAGAGTTTCCGCATCTGGTTTCGTATGCCGAGCCGAACCCATGGGGAAGGTGGGTCCCATCCGGCGGTGCCGACGGTGTGATTTCGCCACGTCCGAGCCTCCGATCATGTACCGCACTGTGTGTGTGTGTGTGTGCATTGCGTCCAAGTAGGTTACTTCTGCATGAAAACAATCCATGAAAGTCTCTCTTTCAGCACATTCCCCGTGTACTGTACTGCAATGAAGCCCTAGCAACCTGCCCACGTGGCTTGCGCCCGCCTAACCATGTGACTCTCAGGTTCTCCAAGTGCGTCCACCACGGCATCACTGGCGATCATAACCCTGATTACCGAGATTGTTGAACTTGTTCTCCTTATAATGGTACTCTGGACTTATCGATGTGTGGCTGGCGGATCGAAAATTACGCTACCTATCTACGGCACATTTCCCTGATACGGGTGCCTGGGGTCATTTGCAGGATATTGAAACATAAGACATCACTAGTGGATTAGGGCCGGCGAACTTTGCAAGTAATCAAGTAAATAGTTCTCTAGTTGTCGTTGCGAATCTGAATAGCGATTCTTCTTTCACCAAAAAGGATGCTGCTTGTTCTAGATACCAAGGTACTTCCGAGTCGTAGTCCCGGGTTCCATGGAATATGAGTGACCACATATGACTTGCAGAACGTGTTTACTCTGAGTGAGTCTGCACACCAATAGCTCCCTTGAACCTTCCTTGCGGATCATAGCGTCTTCGCAGTTCCCGTAATCTGGCAGCATGCGGACCCCAGATCTACACGCGTGTGTGAGCAGCTGTGACTGTCGGGGGCAGGTAAGCCATTGATGCAGCACATACCTTTGTCGTGTCATGATAGTCCTCAAGGCCATTTGGCAGCACGTAGACCTCCGCATCATCCCCAAGTACGCTGGGGGGGGCATGGATGGCGAGATCGCGAGCCAGCTTCTCCTGAGCGGGACTGGCATCCGCAGGGCATCCGGTGCCGAGGAGAAGGATATGCTTCGTACCACTGGGTCTCGGCCACGCAGAACCAGACAGACCGCCCACTATGTCACTCTAGATCGAAGAGAAGCCATGCACAATCAGATTGTGTCACAGTGCAGACCTGCTACGGTAGGGTAAAGGCTTACCGAGCTTAAGAGTTCGAAGATCAGATAGGTGCAATCACCTAGGGAGGGATCGATCTCTCGAATCTCTGCGAACCATCTGAAAGCCTTGATAACGATGTCCTTCGAGATGTCCTTGAGCAGCAATGGTTGCCAGAACTGCTTCATAGTTCCTTTAACAATCCCGGCTTTGTCTATAAAAGAGTTGCATATCAGTCATTATCACGGGCCAAGCCTGGGCGGTGCCCATCTCTCACCTTGCAGGTTTGCCACCCCGGCAAGAGTCGTAATCTTGGTCTGATCGATGGCGCCGGGGATATCCAACGCCCATCGGAAGTTGGCTCGGCCGGGCTCTTCCCCATTGGCGTCGAATGCATGGATGACCAGCATGTCCTCGTCCGTGCCAATCGACTCCAGCAGGCGTCCCTTCACCACGTACAGGAACATGGTGATCCTGGGACTAACCGGTCGGGAAAGGAAGTTCTCGATGCCCTCCGCGACTTCTTCCAACCTTTCCCTGGGCACCAGAATGGGACCGGCCCAGATATCCTGGGGGTAGGGGAAAGCCCGGAGCTTGACCTGGACCAGGGCTACAATCAGATATGGAGATTAGTACAGACTATCACCCGAGCGGGGGCCCAAGGTACATGTACACATACCCCCAAAGCCGCCACCGCCCCCGCGCAGTGCCCAGAGTAACTCCGGCTCCGTCGACGCCCACACCACAGATCCGTCATACTTGACAACCTTGGCGTCCAGCATGTTACCCGGGTCAGAGATGCAGCCAAACTCGCTGGAAACCCACGAGTAGCCCCCATTGATGATGGTTCCGGCGACGCCGACACAAGGGGTCCGGGCGCCCACGACTGTCCGTTATACCGAGGAGCATATCAGCATCCTTCATGTCTGTGTGGTTATATCCATATGGATACTGAACAAGAACTCGAACAGAATCACATACCGCCATACTCCGGCGCCGCGGCAGCGAGCTTTCGATAGACGTCCGACCATGTCTGTCCAGCGCCAACAGTCACCACCTCTCCCTGGGCGTCGAAGTGGAAGTCGTCGAAGCCCGACGTATTTACCACGACATCGCTGGCTGAGGCGGAACTGTACCCTTGGCCGTAGATGGCAAAGTCCAACGTGCTTCTGTACAGGTAGGCAAGCACCCTGCTGAGCGACTCGGTGGAGGTGGGTCGGAGTGCCAGGCGGGGCCTTGCGTCCTTTTGTGCAGCCCAGGTCTGGACGCTGGCCTCGTAACTAGAGGAATCCGGGGTGACAATCTCGTCTTCCTGCAGCAAGGAACGCAGGATAGCGAATGGATCTGCTTCTTGGTTTGACGAACGCATAGTCACTAGTTCTTACCAACGAAAAGGAGGAAAGGGGTGAGGGGGGGGTGGAAGGTGGACAGGCAGGAAGAGACTTGCCAATGGGTCCAGGTCAAACACGGTGCTTGCGAGTATGACAAGATCTACAGTTTTGGAAGCTAGCTGATCTGCCTTCTCATATAACTTGGCTTTAGACTGACCAGGGAGCCTGCTGCAAGTTTATTTCGTGCAGATGACCGCAGACGAACACCGCTCGATTGGCCACATGCAGGTTTGCCATTGAGGATCGACATCTTGGCCATTGAACGTCGGCTTCTAGTGCCCTTGTTCGAAAACATCTTATGGGCTAGAAGCCATGTGAAGATGTTGTTGGGTGGTGATGGTGGGTTACTTCCCCGAACGATCCGGCTGGCTGCCCTTTTTAGTTCGGATGTCCGAAGAAATCCCTCATCGGCTTTTGGAAACCCGAAGATACCTTCTGTGCAAGGGCAATGCCGGTCCGCATTTCCCAACCAAAAAAAAAAAAAAAAAGAAAAAACCCCTGGCCTATATCTCGGGTATATATGTGTTAGGCCCGACTACTAAGCTAGCGAAAATGGCTAATGGTGGATTACATTCGCTTCTCAACCATTAACTCCCGTCACCATCTCTGCACATCATACCATGCTGAACGCCCTTATCACAGGAAGCTCTCGCGGGCTTGGCCTCGAATTGGTCAAACAATTAGCTGTGCATCACGACTTGAAAGGTGGAATAGTCGTGGCAACTGCCCGCACATGTAGCCCGCAGCTGAAGGAAGTCATCTCCACGAGTAATGGCGCCGTTGTTTTCGTCGCACTCGACGTAGCGGACGCGGGGGCCATCGCAAACTCGGCCGAGGAAGTGAGATCGGCCCTTGGAGGACGCAGTCTGGATGTCCTAATCAACTGTGCAGGTGTCCACAGTGAAACCCATGGCAAGGTGACTCTTATGTATGCAATACCCACCCTTGGCCTATGACTGTCAGCTCCGGCGGAGAGATTAACAGTGCTCAGGTCGGACCTCGACTGGCAATTGTCGGTCAACGTGACCGGCACGCATAATGTCCTCCGACAGTGTGTGCCTCTCATGCAGTCGAGCAATGTTAAGAAGGTGGTGAGCGTGTAAGTGGATGAACTGACCGTCGCGTGCTGAGTCTTTCTTGTTTGGCGAATGCTAACACTACAAGTATAGCTCCAGCGCATACGGCTCCATCAGCCATGCTCGAGATGTAGCCTATGCACCGTGTCCAGCCTATAAGATCAGCAAAGCCGCGTTGAACGCGTTGACTGTACAATATGCTCTCTCATATGAGGATGACGGTTTTGTATTCTTCGCAGTCAATCCTGGTGTAGGTTGCCTTTGTCACCAACCGAACAAGGTTGAGTTCATACTCACTAATAGCTTACAGTGGCTGAAAAGCGATATGGGCGGGCAGGACGCTGATCTCACTGTGCCTCAGGGCGCAAAGGCAGTATTAGAGATGGCTTTTGCAGCCGATAGCCGGGATAATGGGACGTTTAAGAACATCGATGTTCCTGGATGGGACAAATATAATGGACAAATTCTGGCGTGGTGAATAGGCATTGGCAATGATTTGGGATTGGGTGTTGAAGCTATTAGAGAATGTACCTTGGACCCGGCCAAGCCCTTGGATCTAGACTGCGTTGTAAGGGATTGTTGACCTACGTTGGGAGGTTCATAAGCATTATAAATACAAGCATAGCGCAATTTAGACAAGCCAAATGACAAATGGCCTGAGAGACCCGTCAAATCGGATGCCCAGCAGCATGTTTAGTAGAACCACAGATCTTATGAGCAGCGGGTGGTAAGTTTACTACGGAAGAAAGGGCTCAGGCAACACGGCAGCGAGGCAGCAAGGCAACAAGGCAACAAGGAATGCCTAAATCTACCTGAGGGCGGCGAAGGTCAACTGACGGCAAGGAAGCGGCAGAATCTTGTCGATTTTCCTGTCCCCGCCTCCCTTGCAGTTGAAGCTCGAACCTTTCTTTCTCACCAGCCTGCCTATCAAATGAAAATATCATATGAAGTACCATTTGAAATAGGCGCCAAATAGCGTGTATGCAAAGATGACAAATGGCATCGCCTCTGTGATGGACGTTCTTCCTGCCGTAGGTCATACCAGTTCAAGCCAGTCGGCTTTGATGCGACGTTAGTAGTCATCCCAGGCTAATCCACCGTAAACAGTGTGACCTATGCCATGCCAGAAAGGTTTCTACCGCGCCGGAGCTGAACGTGTCTCTCTTGGTATAGCTGACTTCTACCCTATCAACTAGGTCAAGTGTAATCGGCAAGCGCCATGCGCCAACTGCGCAGACGCCGGTGCGGTGTGTAGACGCCAGCGCGGTGGACGGACATCGAAGAAGAGAACCCTTCAGAGGTCTGCTGGCATTCAGCTCCTTCTCATCGGGAATACTCTTGCTCTGACGCCAATTCGCAGCTTTTTAAGTCCCCAGGAAACCATAGTCGACTTTGACAGACAGACGTCCAGAAGGTACGGGAACCACTAGCTAAATTCGATGACCACGTCTCTAAAGGAAAGTGCTTTCAGACAACGTCCAAATCCTGGCCGCACACTCACAGACTGTAGCCCTCCTAGACAGTCTGATTATCCAGATTCAACTTTAATAGCTAGGCCTCCCTCTCCTGATGCTGTCTCGACGACAAGTGACGAAGGGTCAAACTATCATGCAATCCAGGCAAAGAACATCATACAGATAGATCTTCAGAACCCTCGCTTTATCAGCCGCGAGCAACAGTCAATACTAAAGTCGGCTCTTCAGCTTGTGAGCACCATGGCCAGCCATCAGCCGCCCACAGCCCTGGAAGAAGGGAGTCATCTGCACGACCCCCCTGGTACTATTCCCAAAGTACCACCGCGTGAGCTCTTATTCATGCTTCTTCCTGGTATCGATGTCTGACCCCTCCCTCACATCGACCCACTGCTGATGGAGATCAGGCCCGCCGGAATCTGTGCGTATACAGTGGCCGGATCACATATCCGACAAGGCCTATGTAAGGATGGCTACGCCCCTACTACAAGACCGATGCCAGCTCGAAGCCAAGACGTTCCACCAGTACTGCATTTGCATCTACGTCAAAGCCATTTTTCATATATATCAGGTATCACGATCCATGGACGACCTTGTTCTCCGAAAGGAAATGTCGGAATCCAGGTCCAACTATGTGGCGGCAGCAATGCGCAGCATTGAGAACTTCAACATACTCAAACCCCCAGATCTCTTGACCATCCAATCAATGATGTCTAGTGTACGTTGTCTTCCAACTGAAAAGATGAACGACCCCCTTGGCTAAACCCTCCCCCCTCTAGGCACTGCTCATGCAGCACTTAGGGAAACCACACCAATGTTGGCTCTTTGTCTCATATGCCGCCCGACAAATCACTGCCCTCAACTATCACAAGATCCGTAGACTGCCAGCAACCTCCGAGGTGGAGCAAGAGATTCACAGTGTCGTCTACTGGTGCTATTATCTTGACCAGACCTTGAGTTCTCTGCTCTGTCGGTCCTCTTCGCTACCCGACCTCGAGGTCTCTCCTACCGACCTGATCACGTTAGCACCGTCGTCCCCGTACGATAGTCTTTTACGGATCATACTTGATCTTGCCCAAGTCCAGGGTAAGCTAAGGACAATCTCTTGTGGTAACAAAACCCACCCCACCGATCGAGCTCTAGAGACATGCCAGCTCCTCGAGGCCAAAATGCAGGCCATCCTTCCACGTTTGCAGGCGGTATGTCCTACACCACTTACGGCTGACACGAAACCGTTCATCTAAGCAAGGCTGTTATCTAGAATCGTGATTGTCATCCCAAAATGATCCAGTATGACTGGGTCGGCGTGGACTTTTGCTACTACGCCATATTCGTCGAGATCCACCGTACCCGGCTGAAAAGGGCATTCAGCCCAAAGGTTCATCAGGAATGCCTCATCTATGCGCGCAAGTCGCTCCGAGCTTTCCGCTTCCTTCAGCAACACCCCGCCGAGCTACCTGGGTTCGATGATCCCTATCCTTCGTTTTTGACATGGTGCGCGTCTTGTTCCCCCGTTCCGTCCTCCTCTGCAAACAGTTCAGACTAATCGAAGACCACCCCAGGACCCTATTCCTCTATCCCCTGAGCGCCTTCTTTGTCGTCTTTTGCAACATCATCGGCACTAAGGATCAGGACGATTCTGAGCTCATGGGCCGGATCATCCAACGTCTGGAGCCGTTCAAGCAGGATCGCCACCTAGGCAAGCTCCTGAACCTGCTGCAGTCGTTGGAGCGTCTCTGTGAGCCCCTTTTCCGGACAACTGGTGATGGCGGTGATTCTGGCTCTGAAGTTGTCGCGCCTGACGGCGATGCATCAGTGACATTTGCTGAGACCAGCGTCGACCATGCCGACAACACGGCTTCCCTTGGCGCTTTCCACCCCGTATTCTCCGGAGCTACTCTGGGGCCTATACCCGCCACCACCACGACCACCACCACCGACGTGGACCCCTCTGCTGACTGGCTGATGTGGCAGTTGTTCAATAGCCAGGTTCCACCGGGATGGCTGGACGAAGGTGTCGAGCCTTTCGATGGTGGCCCCATGTAAAGGATTGGCCAGACGAGGACAAAATATCCATCTTCAGGCCTTGTTCATGTGATGAGGCGGTAATCTATGTCTTTCGGACATGCGTCGTTGGCACAGAACGGAAGTGGAACAAACAGTCCGCAGCTGAGAAGGTCCTTGAGGGGATCAAGGGAAGACGTTTACCGACTCGGTCGGACTTCCGGCCCGGCTCGGATCTCCGAAACCCTTGCGATCGGCCGTCATTTTCTTCTCGATACAATGGAATCCTCATAGTGCGCATGCATTCATCAAGTCTTCCCACCGCTATTTCATCATTACCTGCCCGCCTCGAAACCTCCGCGCACACGTATGTTGAAAAGAACGCTCACCTTCCTCCGCATCAAACATCACGACGTCCTAAATCTTCGAGACACACAAGCATAGCATCACTTTCACATCATACTATTAGAGACTTATCAAATCTCAAGGAGCGAAAATCACACACGACCCAGGGTCACTTCAATCCTAACGGTGGGAAAAATGCACCCGAGCAACAAGGACGCAGGATTTACTGTCCACGTGGACGCCCTCCCATGGCTGCCCCTTGCGCCGCGCGTCTTCATCAAGGTGGTCAAACTGGTCCCCGAGACGGGCGAGTACACGATCATGGTCCGCGCCGAGCCGGGCGGCCTCCTCCCGCGCCACCGCCACGTCGACAGCGCTGAGATCTACGTCCTCCGGGGCAGCGGCGCCCATCCGCAGACGGGGGCCTTTGTCGCCGGCGACTATGTGTCCGAAAGTACGGGCGCGGTGCACGATACGCTGCCCTTCGACTGCGAGACCGAGCTCCTGATGGTCAGTCGCGGGCCCTCGGTGTTCCTGGGGGATAACGGGGAGGATTTGTACGTCATGGACGTGGAGATGCTGCAGGGGATGATGGCGGCGGCGGCGGCGGATAGGGCTTAGTGTGGTTGTATGGGCTCCTGTCCTAAGATATCGTGGGAGTTGGGAGGTCTTGAAGGGCTTTCGTTTTTCGGTGGACATGGAGGAAGGTGGTTGTCGCGGAGAGATGCTTCTTGGCGTTGATACGGCGTCAAGCATACCTGATACAGCACAGTTGGGACTATGAAAAGCTCTATTCCAGACTATCTAACATGCTTTGTCGTAGGCAAGTTGCATTTTATGAGCACAATTGTGCGTCACTAACAGCGAAAATGTTATGTCGTAACCAGTTTGGCTTGCCCGGTGGCTAGACAAAACAGGATCGGTCCTGAAGGAAGGCGTCAAATAAAAATTCATCCTCAATGAACCCTGCATTGTTGTTGGACTGAGCCACCAAATAGGATTAGCTGTGGCCGATGGGAAGAAGGGGCTGTTTTCATACCAATGAGTCCAGACCAATCGAAGTGTCGTGAAGCATTGCTAGTGGAGACTGCTCTTGTGAGCTAGACTCTGGTTCACTGCAACACCTCAATTAGCCAAACAGGTGAACCCAGCAGGGATGCTACGACATGAAGTCTTACACGGGCTGGATAGGGGAGTCGCACGCGAGTAAAGATGCCCGCGCGGTGTGTAGGAAAGTGCAGACTTGGATTGCTCGACTGGCAGCTTGTTCGTCATTAATGACCCTCGTCTCCGGGGCTATTCTGGTTTTGACGAGACCGATGATCATGCTGAGGAGATAGTACTCGTTCAGTCCATGTAGTGTTCTACTTATCCTCGTTTCCAAGATCGCCAGGACCTGCTCAACTGCTCTAAGGAGGTGTTCTGCTACTCCCAAGGAAGTGGTCATTGAGATGGCTTCTTCTCGGAGTGAAATGTCAACATAGTGTTTCTTCTCTCCCATCCGCCTATTTTCTTTTTCATTTTCTCTTCGGATCAAAGCACGGTACTTTCACTCACCGCAAGGACTATGAGAAAGAAAAATCTCATGGCAAATGTTCAAGGCGGCCACCATCAGCCCAGTTTGACAAGCGTGCTTCGGGAGAATTTCGTCGTCGTCGAGTCTTCGGTAGCATTCCAACACTGTCGTGCTAGCATCCAAACGAGCTCTGCGACATATGGTTGACTGGAACGAGTGCGGGGACTGGCAGATGAACCTGGTATACAATAAAAGCAAATACTGACAGAGCTGAATCTTTAGCAGAGTGCTCAAGTACATCGCCAGTTTTTGCTGGCGGGGATCTGCTGCGCGACTATCCCAGTCTGGGATATTTTGAAGCGCTTTGTGCAAAGCCTCCCCCAGTTCTTGCACTTGCTCAAACTGCATCATTCCATCGCAGCCGTTGACATATGCGCATATGGCAAGTCTGGCCGGCAAGGATTGTAGCAGAGTGACCTGAAACGAGGTATCAGCCATTTTCCCCGGAGGTACGGCAACCTCCGTACAGTCAAGAGACTCGCAGAGCTTGTCATCATTAATGTGCAGGGGACAGGCTATATAAAAGTCATCAGGTCGCAGAGTGGGCGGCATGCCTCGTTCTAGAGCGGCTTGGACATCCAACTCTACGATGGTCATCCATAGCCTCCGACGAATCTCCTGATCGTAGGAGGAGATTCGAGCTGCTGGGCTGATCTCCCGGTGGTATCCCGCCGCCATGGCCAGCCGCATCAGTTCGCCGCTGCCGGTCCAGAATGAGCTGCTTTGTATGTAGTTCGCGCGCTTGGCAATAAGCACCAAGCATCGACCTGCAATTGCTTCGCGAGATTGTGACACAACATTGTTGGTGGAAGTCAGCCATGATTCAGCGGCGTCGATCCAATTGACTATTTGCATGTAGATTGATGCTTTGGTTTCGTTTTCGAGGTAGGTTTCGGAATGCAGGCTGGCCCCAGTTGCAAGGACCAAAAGCAGCTGGGCGAGAAAGAAAGGAGCTGTTGACGTGGAACCGCTCCAATGACAATGATACTCGACCATGAAAGCCGACCGGTCCAACACGCGATATGTGGTTTCGAAACGATCAAGATAGGTCTGGACTAGCGCATCCGACACCGACTTGCTTGGTATCACAGCCTTGAGAACCGTTGTGCCCACCGGGACACTGATGTGCTTGCCAAAGGTCGTGCTTTCATGGTTTGGTGGAAAGACTCCGTCTCTCGCCACATTTATCGCAGGGTACTGAGCTTTCACACCGGCAATGTATGATCGAAGTGCGGGAAACTATGCCTTTTTGTGTTATATTGCCCAGATCCTATCTACTTGGAAAGGAGATATTGGATATTCACCTGCTGATAGAAGTTCATGTGATAGCTATACCCGTAGAACTGAACAAGGCCGCCTCTGCGTCGGAAATGAGTTATGTCGTGAATTCCAGCAAGTGCAGGCTGAAATTGCCTCTGTAGATTATTCTCTGACGACAAAACTCTAGGCGCTGGTGCAGCCTCTCGATTGTTAGGTCGGGCAGGGCTGGTCGCTCCATCTTTCTGATGAGTCGTCGAAACCCCGCGATACGTGCACTCCTCGGCAATTCCGGCCCTCACACACCGGCTGCAGGATGGGAATTCCTTGCCACACTTGACTTTCCGCTGATAGCACTGGATGCAAGCCAGTGGAGGTCGTCTTCTTTTCGTACCCGGTTTCAGTGTCCGCTTCATTCTTCTTTGAGACTGATCCCTTGTTTTGGGGTGAGGAAGCTTGCTGAGTACGGTTGTTCGGACAATTGCGGGGATTGCCTACTGCGGGGCAGGGAACCATGCCTATGATATATCGCGGTTACCACCGGGCTCGGCAATTTATGCGTAAAGTCCGCATCCCGCATTTCAGTCATGCTTTGGTACCGAGGTGCTGGGAATGTGACTCTCATGATAGTACAATCTTGATGATGGGTCTTGCTTCACGGTTCAGATTGTGAAGTTCCAGCTCCTCCCGGAAAGCAAATCCTAGGCAATTATGGTTTCGCCTTGATAGTTAATGCTACCCCACGCTATTCTGAACAGATGTTCTTGGCTTTGTTGTATTGGAGAAAGGGTCTGGGCCCCCATAGAGCGAGCATAATTCAGTCATAATGTTGTCTCATGCGGAATAGAACTCCGTGTTGTGTTCATAGTCGAAGCGGCGCCAAAGCAGTTGTGCGGAGGATATAAACCTTCCTGCATTCTGTGCAAAGACCTTCGTCCAGTCTTACATCCAGACTGGTGATTTTGACTAAGAGTCTCGAGCTGAATAAAGTCAAGGTTATCTGCCCAAAAGCGTGAAGCCTGTTTGCTCGGGGAGTCTTCATTTGAAGGCCGCACAGGTAATAACGAAAGAGCCATGTTGAGGCTCGAAGAAAATGGTATTCCTGATGCATTTTCCTATTACGTGACAAGTTTGAGACTGGCCCTCTAATTCACCTCGGAGTATTAGGCCCACGCATTGTGCTTCTTGTGACCACCCCAATCGGCGGCTCCTTTGAATATATTCGGGGCGCAGTAGGATATGATCCCAAACTATACTCACCCATCGAATGGTCCAGCCACCAGAATAGCAGCCTGCCAAACCTGAAATCCCGTCTCCGGTTTGTGACCCATTACGCCATGTGCGTGATTGAAACTTCGGTCTGGGAAAATACCGACATGACTCTGCTCGAGAAGTTCCGATACGCAAAGTTTTGGGAGCATCCTGGAGACGCGACTATGAGTGTCCCCTCTCACAGCAGTGCAAGCAGAAGCAGCGTGAAGGGCGTGGATGCCCATGCAGGTTGGACTGGTTCGAGGATGAAATTTGCCGCATTGAAAGCGGTGATGTGATCGGGCGCACCCGCATGACCGATACAGAGATCGTCCAGAGTACATCTTCCGACTCAATTCAGTTGTGATGACTTATTGCTAACCTGGGATACTTAGTCTACAACGACATGCGCCGAGGTTGGGCATGTATGCCTATTTTCTGGAACTGTCATGATCTTGCGATTCGCCTGGCCTATCTTGTTGCTGTACCCTCTAGTCATGCACTGATCTTTCTCCGTACTTTGATGAGCTGGCTCTGGCAGGCCCTTGTGAGATAGTACTATACTTGGACGGCTAGAGCAGAGAGAATGTGCATGGCGGGGGGGTTGGCAGGATTCCTGGGGGGTGTCATTTCAGCCCCATTCCTTGCCGCCGCCGGTACGGGTTGTTTCCTTGTTGGTTGGTCGACAGGGGTCTCTGGCACAGTCGCAGCTGGATCCAGAAGCAGGCTGAAGTTGAAACTTATGCTCAACCTGGAGAAGATATTCCCATAGCTCAAGGAGCTTCATCGGCAAGCATACTGCTGACCCCACGCTTGTCATATACTGAGGTTCCAGGTCATGTTGAATTTCATTCTTAACCGTTAATGGCAAAATGTGTTTAGAGCTTCAAATTTACTGGCTGAAATCCAACTGGTAGAAGAGTCAAATTCACCTCGTCTAGCAAAGGTTGTATTCGACCCTGCCCAGCAACTTGCCCCCGGCAAACCAAGCATCCATCGCTTCAGCCATCGCCTCCACATAAGCCCTCGGAGAATCATTCGACATCGCCTTGACCAGAAGCTCCTGCGACATCTCATTCGTGACATCCGCCCGGCAGGAGTCGACCACTTTCGCCTGGTAACTGCGCACCGCCTGGTTCAGATCCCCTGGATGCGCAAGAATCGCCTCACAGAGGTCCACCGCGTCCAGCATCGCCAGATTTGCCCCCTCGCCCGCAAACCAGGACATAACATGTAGAGCGTCACCGATCAGCGTCAATCCCTGACGATGCGGATACCGCAGTCCCGAGGGCATGCGATACTGCGCACGGGGCGTCATATTCGCGTCCACATTCCGAACAACAGCCTGGAGACGAGGATCCCAAGTCGCAAAGAATTTCTCAATCAAGAACTCGGTCATTTTCTTGTGATCTTCCCAGTCGAAGGAGAGGTCACTCCATGCCCATTTCTCCTCCACCCGGAGACAAGGGTAGACGCGCACGCTACCGTCCCCGTTGCGCTGGATGAAGATCCCGCTTCCCTCGGAAAGGCAGAAGAAGGTGCCCCGGCCCACAAATTCACTGAGCTCGGGGAATCGTTCATCGATGTTGGATATGCGGCAGTCAATGACTGTCAAACCGGTGTACTCGGGCCTCCAGCCGGTCAGCATCGGTCGGACCTTGGACCACGTACCGTCTGCTCCGACGACCAAATCGGTGAACACGGGGTCCTCTCGGCCTTGGTACAAGAGCTTGACGCGACCATCAGCCAGGGGCACAATCTCTGAGACGGAGTGGTCCCAGCGGATGTTGTCGGGGTCCAGGGATTCGATCAGGATCTTGCGCAGCAATGACCGGTCAATTTCCGGGCGGCCCTCTGCGTTTGCGGATGCCTGGTGGTAGAGCCAAATTGCTGCGGTCTTGTCTCCGAAGCGATAGTCTTGGTCGTGGTAGCGGGCGTGCTTCTGGAATTGATCCCAGAGGCCCGCTTCCCGTAGGGCCCGTTGCCCGGATTCCGGGTGAAGGTCGAGGGATCCACCCTGAAATCGCGAGCTGGAAGAGGTCTCGCGCTCGAAGATGGTGAAGGGGATTCCATGCTTTTGCAGCAGGGCTGCGAGAGTGAGGCCTGACGGACCCGCGCCGATAATAGCGATGTGCTGTGGCATTATGCTGTTGAGGAAGTGTGATTATTTGTTGAGCGAGACAAAGCTTTGGAGAAGAAATAAGTATTTCTGTTTGTGTTGAACGTCCAGATAACTGCACACAGTATATTCATATTTATAGACGTCGAGAAGCCAGCGGTCTGCGAAGCTCTATACAAGTAAAGCCTCACCCAGAGCTCGGTCTATTCCTAGGCCGACGAAATGTCCGAGGCCGGCTCGGCAAACTCGGACACCCCCTGTACCCAGCCAAATTGAGCTGTTTGTCAAGAAATGTAGCAGCTGGTCTGATCCATAGAACGAAGATTGACCAGACAAATCAACTATCATGAGGCTCTGAACATCTGTAATTCGAGCTGCCTGTACTTTCTTGGTCTCTAAAATGATGCAGTAACTTCAAGATAGATAACCACACCCTATTCCCTCAACTGTAAACAAGGTTTTCATCCTAGCATCTTGGTGTCAGTCTCTCTGATGAAGTATGCGTCAGGACACGGTGAAACATATTCTGCTACGTAAAAGGTATCTTTCCCACCACATGGCCATCTCTCACCTCACCCTACGTCAGATCCATTCACTCAGGCTTATGTAAGATCTCGTCCTCTTCCTCCCAACCAAGCAAATATCTTGAACTCCCTTCCCCCACCAATCCTTCTTTCAAGACTGATGTCCAGAATATCCATCGTCGCAACAATGCTCACCTCGAAGCCCACGATCATTCTAGTTCAAGGCTCCTTCCAGACCCCGCTCGTTTATGAGCAACTCAGAACCGGCCTTCACAACGCGGGATATCCCGTCGTCCACCCCAGACTCCCCAGCATCTGCACCGACATGAACGACAGTGAGTTTCTTTCTTGTACACTAAAAGACGATGTAGACGCTGTCACCACAGCCCTTAAACACCTCGTCGAAGAAGAGAAGAAATCAGTGGTGGTTGTGATGCACTCCTACGGTGGCATCGTGGGCACCGAAGCAATCCCCAAGCACCTCACCCACGCGGCGCGGCGCGCCCGGGGACATCAAGGGGGAGTCCTCCACCTCTTCTACTTTGCTGCCTTTATCCTGCCCGAAGGTAAATCCGTACTCGAGGCCTTCGGAGAGTCTCCGATCAATGACGTGCAGGTATGCACACCCAAAACTCCGGGTCCTTTCCACTTACCTGGAAGGCAACCAGTCTCCTTTTCCCTGTTTTTCGATCATGTGCATCATTTCTCGCTGACCCGGAGTCCATACAATTTACAGCCAGATGGCAGATCCCGATTGAAGAACGGCGCCCAGACAGTGTACGGCGACCTCCCGACTGCGGAGGCGGCGTTATGGGAATCGCGCCTCGTACCCCAGTCGTACGCGGTGCAGACCACGTGCACGACCCGGGCGGCGTACGAGTACCTGCCTTCGACCTACCTGGTGTGCGAGGGGGATCAAGCAGTCCCGCCGAGTTTTCAGGAGGGGTTTGCGGGGCTGGCCCGCGCGGAAGTGGATCGGTGCACCGCTGGCCACTCGCCGATGCTGAGCCAGCCGGCTATGTTGGTGGGGAAAATTGCTGCGGTGGTGGATCAGGCGGGCGCGGCGGCGGCGGGGTTGAGCTTGTAGGCGCTAGACTTAAAATGTGTGCAGATCGGCGGGTGCTTGCGCCTGTCAGAGTTGTAGTATCATTGGTTCATGGCGAGAGTTTGTGAGTGTGAGTGTGAGGACTAAGGCTCGGGTTTCGCCGAGGGTGGGATTTGTAAGCGCCACCGTGATAGTACGAGGATGACTCTCGGGTCTACGATTCTAATCTTGTATATATATCGAGTAGGAACTCAGAGTGAGACAATTTAGGTCTAATTTCATTTCTCCTCAGATATAGGGATTTTGTAAATGGCTTTTCCGGCATTGTATAACCATGCCCGATTGTGCCGCACACATTCTCTTAGGAAAGACAAGTTAAATGAGACTCGGCTCCATAACATCCTGCCAGTTGAAGAGCGAGTGGTAAGATATCACAATCAGGGTGAGATGAACTGCGCAAGGGGACCTTGTTTGTTGTTATCAAGGAGCACTAGGGATCAATATACTAACGGGTTCTTTGATGTCTATCGAATCCCAAAACAATAGAACTTCTCCATAGCTGCAGAAAGAGTCTACAGGGGGGGGAAGGGGGGTAGTCTGAGAAAAGATGGTAGAGCTAGAAGCCAGAGTGATGAAAAGCCGAGGAAGAGGCTCAGGCTGGGATCATCCAGGTACATTCACTATGTGATAGTCGCAGTACATTGAATGAACAGTCTCAACGCGTCAGTCACTCCAATGGCATCAACTCTTACTGACTCCATTCACTATCCTCTTACAGAATCTTTTTCTGCCACTGCAACCTCATGAGGGAGGCTTTGAATTTTCCACTCAACGCGAGCTTTGACCCTCCTACTTCCATCTTACTGCACACCTTCAAGTCCTTGACCGAGCCTGGTCGGAAATCTGAGCCACCATTCTTCATGATACTCGTGTTACCTCCTTCTATCTTTAGTCACTATGGGACAGGATACCAGCAACTCTGACGACGCGGCTTCGCACGCGCTTCTCCTCAGCAACTCGCTCTTTTCACAGGCCAAAATGGGGAAATACACTGATTTCGCCCTCGAATGTGACGGTACCACCTTTCCTGTGCACAAGGCGGTCGTGTGCTCTCAGGTCGAAGCTTTCGCCGCTGCCTGCGAGGGACGATTCCAGGTACGGATATATGATTTGAAATCAAACGACCCTGGCAGCTGAAGCTGACTGTGTGAAGGAGGCATGCACAGGTGTCTATCGCATCGACGGGTTCCAGGCATCGACTGTGGGCTATATGGTGGAATACCTGTATACCGGGGATTATACCCCTGAGTACGAGCGCACGCGCGATACCACCGGTCCAGTCCACGCATTTATACCAAGGTTTCTAGGATGCAAGCTAACCAGTGATGGTTGCCAGAAGAGTCTGCCCCCAAAGCCGAAACCACTTCACGCCCCAGCCGTTCGACTCCGATTCTCTCTGAGGTCCTGATTACCCATATCCAGGTCGCCGAAATTGCGGAATATTATCAGGTGTCGAAGTTGAAGGCTCTCGTTGAGAAGAAGGTCGACAAAACACTCCAGACGCCATGGTCTCCTAAAGGCTTCGCGACAGCCGTAGACCTGGCTCACAGGGTCCCGAATGCTGAGAGCATACGTGACAAGATAGCGGGTGTCTTGGTGCAACATCTCGACGACTTCCTTTCCGATGAAGCGGCAGAGAGCCCGTTTACCGGCGATGTGTCTGTTCGCGTGTTGCGTCTGATGCGCGAGGCGAGCAAGGCTTCTGCCAGGTCCATTCAAGCGCTGCACAGCGAGTGCAACAGCCTCAAAGAGCAGCTTGCCCGTGAGCGCCAGAAGCAAGTGCAGCCTTCACAATATGCGACGATGTCCGGGAATATGCCGATATTTGATACACCTCTCCTCACACCCGGTCGCACTAATCATTAACGGCGTCTCGATTGAGCCATGGTACCGGGCTTGCAAACAGTCCGGCGCCAAAGCACATATCAGCTTCTTTGGCTGATGCTAGACAGAAGCCTCGGTCGCGTTAGTGCTCGTTGTGAATCTTGCTAACAGACTCTCTGTTTCGATCCCGCGGATTTCTTGCTAGTGTGGTGGTCCACGTGTGTACACTCGAGGCCCCTGTGGAGATGAATCGGTCTGGGGAATGATCTATCGGGGAGATCGTCGCGTCGAGAGAAAGTGTCCTGATATCATAGCTTTTACTTTCCTTGCTTGAGTTAATTTGTGCACGATTAATCCTAGCTTGCAAGAATATGTAGGCATGCGTAGGCCTACTCACCCAAAGTCCGACAGTGAATACCTGAAGGAGACCAACCATGCAAGTGGCCAATTCAGCTGGCCTTGAACATCCTTGTAGAAGAAAATCCTGTATCAGCAAAAGAAAACACGCTTGATTGTTCACTTTATTCATAGTTACTCCAGAATTCTACAGTTCAGGTCTTAATCCCAGTAGCTCAAGTCCCTGCTATGCTATCTCGGACGAGAACAGTGTTAGGATTTGGTCACAAGGCAGCTTGTGCATCCACTTCGCCATAGACAGGTGAATCCTTGCACTCCAGAATACACATATTTAGAAGCCAATTTCCCAGTATTATTCACAGCTACTACACAAACATCTGGCATCATATGTTGTCTCGCTGTCATTGATGATGCGCTAGTTCGATGGAACTGCGCCAACGACTTCAGGAATTCCGGATACCACGTAGCCCGCACGCAGCAATATCCCTCAGTCCGTGGGTGGCAATGGGGCACTGTCTGTACCCGGCCCCGATCTGACAGGTTGGGCGAGTAGCCTGATTGGGTATGCCAGGGAATCAATAATTTGACCCCACAGTGCTCCGACCAACAACTTGAACGAGCAGGTCAGTTAATGTTGCGGTAAAGCATCCCCAAAACCTTCGTATGCAATGACCTATCCAATATCGACGAAGGCGCAAATACCTTCACCGTCGTCGACAAATGAAGTGCCCATTTCAATCAGACCTCATCTCTCACGAGGTAGGCGTAATGCTCCAAGCTCTCCCCAATCATGCGAGCAATGGGCCAGGGGCTATTACAGGCGATGAACATCTGCGCCCACAACTTCGGCACCGCAAACTTCAGAAAGCGGATTGTTTCCTGTGGGCGGCGGAGCTCGTCGTCCGCGATCTCGTAATCGTCGCCGGCTGTCTCATCGTGGGACTCGAGACCGTCCCGCACCACGCGAATGATCCATTGGATAATCTGTCGTTCGTAGTCTGCCAGCACATCTTAGCGCTGCCATATACGTAAAGAAGTCGACTTCCGGTTGAAAAGAGGGACCTACCGGTGAGGGGCATGCTGGCGCAGTTCTGCGCCACCACCTGCAGCCATTTACTGGTCAAAACCGCAAATTCCAGTCCACAGAAGACATGATACAAGCTCCACGAGAAGGACTGGCGCGTTGAAAAGTACGCGACGCCCATGTGAACAGAGATGCGGAGCGCGTGGATCGAGTGGAGCAAGGCGTGAGGCAGATGTGGGCTCCGCTCCGGCAGCGGACATTCGTGGAGCTTGGCCGCGACCGTCGGGGGGTCGCAGCTCTGCAGCTGGCGCCAGGGACCCAGGTTGCACTGCAGCCGGACGTGAGCCATGCCCAGCAACGCGGTGGAGGCGAAGGCCATGGACCCGTAGGTGTCATGCAGATCGTGGACGGTGTCTGGGGACGCCTTCCACGTGATCCGCCAGTTGTTGAGGGCCCGCTCGAGGCTGTCGGTTTCGGCGGCGGAGAGGGAGGGGCGGTCTACGTCCTGGGACAGGGAGTTTGCCAGATAGATTCGTTGGAGGAGCGCATGAATGAGAACATAGTTTGCCATCGGAGAAAGTGATGGGGCTGGAACTTGGGGCTGGGTGGTGGCCAGCTGTAAGCGGAGGCATTCCCTGAAAGAGATCGCGGGTGGCGCTGTGGTCCGAGCAGCGAGCCATGCCGATGGCGTCGCGGCTATCCATTCACGGCACGAGGATGGCAGAGGGAGATCGAGCTCGTGGCTCAATACCATTGGAGGCGTGTCGTATAGTATTGTTTGTTTCATCAACAGACAGTATGCGCTGAAAATGGTGCGTATGTCTTCCTCGATCGAGGCCCACTGCCGCCAGTTGTCCCCGGCCTTGGCGTGGTTGTGTTGTGGCATAGGAACGCTACGAAGAAGCGAGGCAATCCATCCTTGACACTCCAGAGACTCACGGATGAAATCACCGTCCTTTTGGGACAATGCGAACGTCGCCACCAGGACGAGTGCGCGCAGTCGGTCCATTGTACCACGCCCGGGTACACCGGCTTTTGCCGGGCTCGAGAGCGGCCCGCCGCGGGTTTGACGGTCAACAATAACCGACCTAGCTGCGTGGTACAAACGGCGAGCCATTTTTGTTTCGTATCGATAATGCGCGCCCATTGCTTGAAGCGCTAGAACAAACTCTGGGCTTCTTTCCGGGGAGGCGATGCTGAGCGTGGGTATGTGAACGAGGGGATGATGATTGCTATAACCGTCCACGTAGCCCTTCATATACCGCCCGAGAGCGGATCGGGATGGGAGCTTGAAGTCTCCAAGTGAGGTCTGAAACGGAGTCAGTGATTGGGTGATCGCAGCTCGTTGAGCTTCGCTGACCACCCAGGGATCAAGCGTGGGCTTCAGCTCTTGGAAGTCGTCTATCTCAAGTCAGTATCTTTGGTTCGTCCTGGAACAGACCTGGTGGGGGTTATGCACACCGTTATCAGTCGCACCATCGGGTACTCTTGGACGACTGTGATTTGGGGTCACGTCTGTCTGATCGGAGAGCATGGCGCTCACCGGGACGATAGGCTGGACCTCTTGATGGTCGACCCCCATGCCTGGGTTCATTGTGCTCCAGTCAAAGTCCGAACTCACCATATCCATGAACCTTGAAAAGTCCAACACCGGATCATCATAGTCTTTTAGAAGATCATTGAAGTACAGTGGGGCGTTTACCGGGAGAGATTGCTGGGATACGGGATCAGCAAACCCCGGATAGTTGGCAGGGATAGGAGGCTGCGCCTGTTCAGACGGCGCAGAATTCCTATCTTGTAGGGAAGGACCCGTCGTGCTTGACTCCGGAGCTATGTTGAGGGATTGCTCGCTTACTAGGTTTTCCAATCAGCCCAGCGCTGGGTTTTAGGGGAGGGGACTCACGTACATTCGACCGGCCAGTTACCGTCACGAATCCCATGGTTTAGTCGCTCATGCCTCCTCAGCAAATCCTTCCGTGTGAAAGCTCGGCCGCAGGGACAAGCAAAAGGCTTCTCTTTGGTATCTATTCCTAGGTTAGGTCGGCCGAAGGCATTCGTTGAATCTCTGGAGTGGGGGCAGTACGGGTTCTCCGATGACGCTGCAGATGCTCTAATCGTGCAAACGAACGCAGGCACAAATTACAAATTAGCGACCGTTCGGCACGTTTTGTTGCTCCCGAAGACATGGCTTGGCCGCTGCAGAGTCCGTTGCAATGTGGGGGCTGAGCTTTGGGGATCTCCAAATGATGGAGGATTGAGGGGGGGGAAGCTCGATCAGGTAGGGGGATAACTCATCCAATGATTGAGAGAAGACGCAGTTTCGGGAGGAGATTTGGGGTTCGCGGATTGCGGGTGATGAGATGAGGGGGAAGGGGGGTCCGTGGTTAAAGAATGCAGATTGGAGAAGGAGATTGTCAACTGGCAGTGTAGTTTGGGGATTCAGGATTGGGGATTCAGGATTGGGGATTTGGGGTTACCTCAGTTGGGGCTGTGGCTTGATTAGTCAGCGCCAGTGATGCATCGAATTTCACCACCATACTTTACACTAGATCAGGTAATCAGCATTTGTGAAGATGAAGTTTTACTTCCCCTGAGCATTAGGATAAAAATCACATCTTCTAGCCGTATAATGACGATGGGGGCACTGGAAGAAGGTAGTTATTGAATCCCGGGACCCTGTCCTGCCTGGAACCTGTAAGCCGGGACTCTGCGCCTCAGGCAGAGACCAGGCCCACTTGTTCACTTTTCCTTTTCCTTGCTCGATGTGCATTTGGTTCGGTGAAGCAAGTCAATCTGTTGCAATTCTAACTCTCAAAATTATATACGCATGAAGTACCTCCATCACAAAAGATCAATAATGTCTAGATACTAAGGTCATGGCGCCACGACGACATCGTGAATCTATTTCTTCTTGAAATATATATCCTCCACCCACATAAACACTTCAGGCCTGAGAACCCCAGACTCCACCTTGTTCTTGCGTGATTTGCAAAAAGCAGGGTCATACTATGAGCGGTTTCTTATAAATTCCAGTTTCTCAGGTTATCAATGTCAACTACTGTCGAAATATCTAGGTTGTGACATTTGTATTTGTCACATACAAGTAGTCCAAGCTAACATCTCAACAAGGCGAATCATCCTGTATATGTCAGGTTTCTGACCTCAGCGGAAGACATTCTCAAGTATACAACCCTGATTCATGAAGCCCAAGCCCTTCTTATGCCCCGACTCATACACACTGCGCACATCCGCAGAAGTGGCCGACGATGACACATTTGGCAAATTGGACGGCGCCGCCACCAGCGCCACCAATAGTATTCCTCATTGCGAACAACCACCTTTGACAGACGTTTATTGCCAAGAGGCGCTGCTTCAATAGATTCTTCGAATGTCAGTCGATGAGGTCAGCATGAAAATGGTTACCTTATTTTGTAAAAAAAATGCTGTTGATCATGACTTATTGATAGCTGGATCGGTGGGGTCAGCCGAAAGCTTGCGGGCGGGTCGAGCCCCAAATATTTACCCCAAACTCTTATCGGTTCTCAACTGGATTATATCACAGACTGGAGGAGCTTGGGAATCAATTTATAACTCTACATCAACTAACTCCGAGTCTGGAATTGACTGCATATACAGTTTTCATCTTCCGCTCACCACTAAGCACAAACAATGGCGTCGCTTCAACTACCACAGTCCGCCAACACCGTCGAAGTCTGCCTCATCGACTCGTAGGTTCCTTCCCCGATGACTGACTGTGTCCTGTTACCAAAAGCCCGGCTCACGCATCGAACAACATGTAGGGGTGCCCGTCTGGACTTCCCAGCGCAGGAATTCATGACCCCGGCAATTCGAGGCTACGACCGCATGGCCGTGCCATCATACTGCTTTCTCGTTACGCACCCATCGGGCCAGCGCATCTTGTTCGACCTCTCCATCCGGTCCGACTTCCAGAACCTGGCCCCGATCTTTGCCGAGCGCTGCACCAACACTGCCAGCAGTGACTGGAAGATATTCTCCCCGCACAACGTCTCAGATATCCTGGTCACGAACGGGGTGCCGCTCACTGAGATCAGCGCCATTATCTGGTCGCATTACCATTTCGACCACACCGGCGATCCGTCCTTGTTCCCCACGTCGACTGATCTGGTCGTGGGGCCGGGGTTCACCAGGAACTTTACACCGGGATGGCCCGAGCAACCTGGTTCTCCGGTGAAATCAGCAGATTGGGCAGGCCGCAGCCTGCGAGAAATCCAGTTTGACGAGCAGCAGCTGAAGATCGGTCGCTTTCCCGCCGTGGACTGGTTCGGCGATGGAAGCTTCTACCTTCTGCACACCCCAGGTCATACACCGGATCACATGGTTGGATTGGCTCGCGTGCAGTCGGACTCATTCGTTCTCATGGGTGCGGTAAGTGATTGCTCAGCTGCGTTTCCTCTAACCCCCATCCGGCAACACAGCCCTAAAGCCTGGCGAAGAACTTGAAGAGCCCAACAACCCACTGACGCAAATCCCACGAGGGACGCATAGGATTTCGCTCACCACCCCGGCGAGTTCCGACCCTCAAAGCACATTCCTATCCCAGAGACGATCCAACCATCTCCACTGCCTTCCCACCCCCGATTCGGGAGTGTCTGTCCCGGCCATCTCTTCCACTCCTTGGGCCGTCACCCAGGGGCGAATGACAGGGCGTTCTTCGAGCCCGCGGAAGAGTTCACCAATGACTTCGACCAGTGTCTCTGCACAATTGATGGCCTCACCGAATTTGACGCTGACGAGCGGGTCCTGGTGCTGACGGCCCACGACCACAGTCTCTTGCCTATCTTCACGGGCGCCGAGGATGGGGATGCCGGCTGGTGCTTCCCGCATCGGACACTCAATGGTTGGCGGGAGGCGGGGCTGGCCGAACGGGGAAGGTGGCGGTTTCTGAACGATTTCCGGGATGCCGTTGGGGAAGAGTGAGGGCCTGCAAAAGTGGGTAGAAAGTTGGAGATTCGGGAATTCGGAGAGTTGGGGGTGGGGCAGATAGAGTTCGGAGAATCAAGCTGTGAAGTCCTTCGCTTTTGATTCCTTCGCCTTTGTGGATCTAGATCGCTGTAACACTTTACGTAATGGGATGTTGATTCTGGGTTGTTTCGTTTACACTAGTCACAATATAATCTTCAATTCTCAAGCGCAGAGTCACGTAAGACTTATCCAGTCGGTTATCGAACTATGTGGAAGCCACTGCGTTGCATCTATACATCCGTTGTCAAGACTGAACGTGGTTGAGAATAAATGGTCCGTGGCCACCTGCATAGGCCACCCTTCCCACAGTGTTAGTACTTTGGAGTCTGTCGTCGCGTCGGGTATCGTCACTAAGTCTTGGTTCTGAACTGTACATGCGGAGTCTGGCATCGGCCAAAGCGGGTCATTCACGGAGATGTCAATTCCCGTGAGTGTCTGCGGAGACATTATCACGTCTTGACCGAGACTCTCCCTGGACCCATCCCCGTTGGATGTACTTGTCGCAGATAACTCCGTCGTTGTCTCAGTGGTAGACCGATGGTAATGAGGGTCACAATCTTCTGACTCTGTTGGTAATACTTGCAGCCGACTCAGGATCTCATGGATAAGAGGTTGCTCTTGTCCGCTGGGATGAAGCATCAACAAGTCCCGGGGACACGCTCCGCTTGTGTGTCGATATAACTTCTGGAGCCCATCGATCAGGCGCTGGCGATCGCTCTCGAGCATTTCCACGTATCTATTCATGTCAGCCACGGTCGTGTCGAATCCGCGCCCATGCAGTGCCTTCACTGCCTTACCCTTTAGGTATGACCCTGTCCTTGGCTCTTGTAGTCCTTTGAAACGTGCAGTTCGTACCGGAAGCCTTGCACCGGTGGCAAGGGTCTGCACCATCACACTGCATGGGGTCTTAGTGCACAGTAGCTCATTCTGTGGTGTCGTCGTACTGTACCTTTGCCTTTTTCGTTCTACAGCGATCGCAGGCCCTTGAAACCCTCCTTCTGATTCTGTTGTCGCGATGATCTTGTTCCGGGCTTGCGGAAATATTGCGGCAGGGATTTCCTTTTTCCATCGTTCTGTCGCATTAAGTAGTCTGGTGGGTTCCATCAACATGATGGGTAGAGAAAGATTATTCTGATCATATATATACACCTTGAACAGGTTCTGGAAAGTGTTCGAAGGGTTTGTAAACTAGGTGATTGATCATCATCGTCATCATTCAGGTTTAAAGTTTAAGGTGTACAGGGCGCGACAGCGCTAGGGTAGGGCGCAGTGTACCCTGAATCAGTGAATGCGATGCATTTCAGGGTACGGACCCAATTATCCCTGAGTCATAAAAACCCGGAGACTTTTCACCTCGAGGCACCTAGTTACGCCGAGTTTCATCCGAGCACATTCTCAGATTCTCTTCACCAGCAATGTTGCTTGGCGAGCACTCCCTCCAGACTGCCTTCTGCTATGCTGGCAGCCTCTATGATATTCCCTAAGACTGCATCCTGCCTCACTAACGACAATTGCAATTTTTTGAGAGGGAAGGGAATGACGAAATTCTGAAACTAAGCACTCATAGAATGAGTTGAATAAGGTTATTGTGGCTTTCTCTGCACGTGGTTCTAGACCCTGGACGAGCAAAAAGAAAATCCCCAAAAGCCAATTCTCCAATTTCCTTACGTGGGTGGGGCTTCCCCGAATGTCCTCGGGGATCCGAGCCGCTGAGCAATTTGGAGAACCCGCCCGTTTGAAGTGAACTGCGTCATACATCAAATCCAACACATACAAATACTGTACCCCCGCTTTCTTCTTTACCTTCATCAACAGTGCAGGGCATGAGTCGAGCGAACCTGCCTACCAAATCCCTGATCTGAGACAGGAAGGACAACATTACCAACAAGCTACCAACCAAAACCAACAATGTCAAACCTCACCTTCAACTGCGCCCTCATCACCGGCGGCGGCGGCGGCCTCGGCAAAGCGATCGCCAGCTACCTCCTGCGCAAGGGCAAGAAAGTCATTATCGCCGGCCGCACCGAGCAGACCCTGCGGCAAACCGCCCAGGAGATCGGGGCGACCGACTACTTCGTGCTGGACACGGGAGTGGTCTCGCAGATCCCGGCCTTCATCCGCACGCTCACGGCCCGATACCCCGAGGTCGACTGCCTGATCAACAACGCGGGCGTGCAGCGCCCGCTGGATGTGCTCGGGGACGCGCCCGCCGACTTCCTGGCCAAGGCCGACCAGGAGATCGACATCAACATCCGCGGGCCCATGCACCTGACGCTGGGCCTGCTGGAGCACTTCCGCGCACTCCCCCACGGCCGCGCGACGATCATGAATGTTTCATCCATCCTGGCGTTCGTGCCGTTCTCCGTCATCAACCCGGTGTATAATGGCACCAAGGCGTGGTTGCACTTCTGGTCGATGACGCTACGCACGCAGCTGGAGAAGGGCGGGTACGAGGGCATCAGGGTCGTGGAGGTCGTGCCGCCCTCCGTGGGGACGGATCTGCATCGCGACCGGTCGGATCCGGATGATAATAAGAAGCATAAGAATCCGAAGGCGTTGACGGTGGAGGAGTTTATGGAGTTTTTCATCAGGGGGTTGGAGGGTGGGCAAGATGTTATTGCGCCGGGGGTGAGTCAGGAGGTCGTTGATAAGTGGTATGCGCAGTTTGGGGGGGTGTATGATGAGCTCGCTGGGGAGCATAAGAAATGATTGGGATGGCACGGATGTTTAGGAAACATAGAGGGGAGTTTTGGAATTTGGGTTAGAATAATGAAAGTAAAGATTAGCGCTGCATTTCTGCAAACTGTTCTGCGGAGAAGCATAGGCAATAATGCTGCAAGAGATAAGGTAGAGTGGAGCGTCAATGTCTTCTCTGGTCATTCTCTATCATTCCGTACTCCTCTAGTAACGAAATCGGAGCTACATCATTTCCTGAGATCCGAGAGTGAACCACATCCTTGCCCCCAAGAACCTTTGATGGTTACACTCCTCCAGCCGTTCCCTGTCTCCCCATCATGACGGGGCCTTGGCTGACATTCCCGGTATCAAGCACCTTCATCCCAAGCCGGGTCTCATACGACGCCTGACTCTTTGCGGCCGAAGTCCGCAGCATCAGCCACCGCAAGTACGGCAGGGGGCGGACTACCTCATCCACACAGTCGATGAGCCACCCACCCAGCCCCTGCCCTTGGTACTCCGGTAGAACATATAAGTCGGTGAGGTAGGCGAACGTGACACCATCAGTTACCAGCCGGGCGAACCCGATCTGCTTCACATCGGCTACATTCAAGTCTCCGACCGGTCGCTGTGGGTGGCCGTTCTCATCATCGCAGAGTCGATGCGAGCGGAGGTCGTAGACGCCAAAACAGAAGGAATTCTCGATAATCTTCTTTAGAATATCTTCGGGAAACGGACTGGCCCAGTACATGTAGTCCTGTGCGAATGCATGGTTAATGGCCGTGGGCGAGAGATATCTCTTATCGGTGGAGATGAGGAATCCACCTCGGGTCCAGTGGATGGGTTCTGTGGGTAATGACATGCTTGATCACAGTGAAATCGTGCAAAAAAAATATAATGTCAACAATGGAGACTTCAACTATGAGAGATGGGTTTGACACAGTCACGGCAGACTTTATAGCAAATAAGCTCGTGGGGGTTGATGTTCGTTGAGTCATTCTAGTCGTCAGCGCTAGATTGGAAGTGGTATGGATGGTGGCGTGGCCCCTGCTAACCGCATCAAGTTACCATCGCATCACACCCTTAGTCAATGGTAGCAGAAACATCAACCCATCTGGACGATAGTCAAAACCATCTATTGATCACTCTTCGGAATCTGTTCATATGCAGGCAAGGCCCATTTCACCATCCATTCTGACTCGAGGGTCTGCTTAGTCGTACACCGTTCCTCTGGCCTAAATGCGAGCATCGGTCGTAGCATGTCAAAGATAGCATCCCGTTCATCGTCGCCAAGAACGGGCATCCCTTCCTGTCGTCTGGGCTGCTGCACGCTGTCTTCAAACCGATCGCTCCGAGACCGGAATGGACTGCGGTTGATGGGCCTGCCATCTTCGGTGAACTTTTCCCGTCGCGCCTCCCACCCCCTCCACCACTCCAACGGCAAGATGCCAAGGGTATCGACGTGCTCACGGGTCATGTCATCCTCCGTGGCAAGGAACCCTTCGAACAGTGGTCTTTGAGCTATGATAGACCATATTGTGCATGCAAGAGTCCAGATCATCAAAGGCTCGACTGGAGCGTGGGCACCTGCAAGAAAACCAATATCGATCTTCTCGAATTACCCGTGTTCTGGCAACGACACGCACCGATTGACAATACCAAGAAGACCAATGTACAGGCCCATTCACCGATCCGGGTCGTGTACGCCAACGACGGCGGTGTGATGGTGTACTGCGGAGTGATGACCCATGGGGTGGCGAAGAAGGAGCACAATGTCGGCGGGCAAGAGTCGTGGATTGGAGACAAAGGGTTCAAAATTTGTCTTAGGCCTGAGGTCCGCGGCGATGGTGGTTGAGCGAGGATTGGGCATGGTATGCGTACTATCTGTGGCGTGGCGGTTCTGGTACCAGGTCAAGGTAGCAGTGCTTGGAAAAAGAGGTGTATGGGTGCAGATCCGGGGGGCTTTCGTATCGACTTCTGTTGTGTAAGTTTTGAATATATGTAGCAATCTCCACTCGTCATATAGTTGTGGCTGCTTACCTAAATCACTGGCATACAAGGCTCGTTGGTTTATTCAGAAACGTAAAGGAAGGTTTAAAGGGTTGATACTGCAATCAACGGATATGTAGATTGTAAATCAATCGCGTGGATCCAGGACTGTTAACGAGCGAATAACATAACGTGTTTCTTGTGCGATGATAGTCAAGTCCTTCGTCCAAGTACGGCCACAGCCGCGACCCTTCCCCTCTGAATGGTACTCTTCATGTGTCCGTCCTTGCCTTCCTGCTTTTACAGCCTGCAGTAACTCGAGACCTTTAGTGGGGGCCACTGGCGCCGTTACCGCCATTACCTCCACTGCCTCCGCTACCCGTGTTTCCGCCGCTACCGCTGCTACCACCCCCGCTGTTGGAGCTGGAAACACCACCAGACGAAGTCAACGTGGCCGCGTAGCTCGCGCTGTAGCTGGCTGAAGTATCGATACCGATGGTGATCCACGAAAAGAGTCCATCCTCCACAGTGTCCCCAAGGAGAACGTACTCGAGCACCGGATCCGAGTCACTGTTCTCGGTCTCGGCTGCCAGGACCCGGTCATTGGCGTTGAGGGTGATAGCCACGGTGTTCTCACTGTACGGAGACAGCGCCTCCACCTGGGTAATGAGGTCCTGGTCGTAGAACAGCTGCCCGATATGGGCGATATTTCCGCCGGTCAGGGTCCCGTTGGACAGCACGGTCGCGCCAATGTGGGCAATGACATGCACGTGGGTGGCGCGGCCGCTGTAGTGGCCGGGGAAAATGGTGGTGAACTGCGCCACCCCGTCCGCGTCGGTGGGCTGCAGGCCGCGTAGCGCAGTGTTGTCCAGATTGCTGGCGTCGTTGCCGTTCCCGTTGCTGCTGTCCTGGACTCCGGAGTAGACGCCGGTGGAGTTGCAGTTCCAGACGTCGAAGTACAGATTCTCGATCGGCTCGCAGGTGTCGATGTCGATGAACTGCGCGTCCATCACGACAGACACTCCGGGCTCGTCGTCGGTCACGTCGGAGCGGATGTATTCGCCCTTGACCCAGAAGGGGCCAACTTCGCCTTCCGGGGACAGAATGCAGGACACATCGTCTGAGAAGAAGACGTCTTCGGACGAGTCGGCGGTCACACCGGTCAGGCTGGAGAGGTGAGAGGTGTTGATCACAGTCGTGAGGTCTCGAGCCTTGAGAAAGCCTACTACATGCATTAGGACTATTCGTGGAGAAGAACGGCTGTCGTGCTGTTGCAGTACTCACCCTCTTCTGCACTTCTCTTGGCTTTCTTGCTTGCGATATCGCGGCGACGAGCAGCCGCGCGAGCCTGCAGCGCACGAAACTCAGCTTTCTCCGCGCACTTGGACAAGCTGTTACGAGAATGACGAAGGAAGCTCCTTTTCAGTGCCACATTGGAGCCAATGTCTTCATGGCCGGGATGGGCCACCGCGACAGCGGCCATCCCTAGGACAACGAGTTTTGAGAAGGAGACCATGATCGATGCGAAGGCTCAAGAAATGGTAACTATCAAGCTTCTACTCTGGAGAAGCTGTTGCTGTCGTTGCTAGAGATAATTCCTCTCGAGACCCAGCGAGATATCGAGCGCTTTTATACCTCGTCTGCTCATACTTCCCCTCTCTTCACGGAAGGTGCAATATCGTTGTGCATCGCCGGTATCAAACATCTTCATTGCGGTCTTTCCGCTTACTAAGAGCGAAGAGGAGTATGGATGCCGCTTTTCCGTACCAGTCTGTATGCGAAGGACATGATGGTACAAACGTCGTCGTCAGCGTCTTGGCTCGAAATAGGTAGGGCAGGGTCCAACTCCGGCGGGGTCCGTGGACGCGCGTCGTTTCCTACCACTCACAGTGAACCCATTTCCAAGTCGCCAAGCATACCAATATTGCTTCACTTTACTTCAATCAACCATAAGCCCTTTATTCTTCTTGGCGTCGCCAAGAAAATACTATACCCCAGGCCAGGACGATTAAAGTTGCCCTTCTTGGAGCGGAATCGGGCCGTACCCGTGCCAGTCTCTTTGTCCAGCGCTCTGCCAAGGCCAGTTTCTCAGGCGCATGAGTCCGATGCAAAGAATCTGTTGGTGAATCGATTGTCTGGCAAAGGGTTCAAGCTTGCGCAATTGGCTGAATGCATCCTGTGATGCAGACTGCAGGTTGCATGAGAATCTTTCCTCCCATGCGCAAGGGTAGGAAGTAGAGTGAAGGGAGGGGAACGGACTTCAATTATCTTCCGTGTGATGATGAGTTCTGGATATATGCTATTTCACATATTATACCACTAGTCAGGGTGGAACGCCGGTCGCGGCTGGGATCTTTGTGTATAATAAATGATATGGAACACTTTGCTGAGCACATGTGGATCATGATACTGGCAATTGGGCTCACAGCCCGGAGCCGGTCCTGATGTTCTAGGTGTGTCCATCGCATGAGACAAACACTTTTTCAGAAATTCAATACTAAGTAATTCGTGTCCCATTCCAGGTCGGGGATGCCAGGCTACACTTTCGTCGCACGCCTAGATTTTTCTATTACAGCCCACAACGGGCAGGAACTCGTATCGCACATTGAATTCAAACATGCGTATGGGTATGTCGGAATCTGTTTGAGACCAGAAGATTCGGATTCATACCTTTACCCATTCTTAGAAGTCTTTACCTCTGATACATAGTGCCACTGTGCTTAACGTCCCATGACCTTTTATGGCAATTGAAGATTTCAACAGTAGTTTCTTGAACCATGTTTTGAAATCTTTTCATTGCCTTAAGCTCCTGTTCCAAAGCTTCATACCCTGGAGCGAAAACGGTCAGGAACATCCAGAGCAAAGCGCTTTTCTTGGCGAATCACAGCATCACACCTTACATATACTGTAACGTCCACGGTTTCTGGCATGCATCCACAGACTGTCCTTCATGTCACCAATGCAACACCCACGCTCTCCTTCTCCGATATCGGATAGATGTACTAGGCGCGCCGATCCTTACGCTCCCATGTGGTAAGAGAGACATCCTCACGTTACTAGTCCGTTGGTCTGAGAGCTCAGAGGGTATCCGTCGCGGTGGCGGAGCTATAGTCAGGCTGGTATGTCGCCTCCACCTGACCGTGTTTTGCTCGCCTTCTCATCGGATCTTTCCCTTCAATCTTTCAGACGGTATTTGTCCATGTTGGCGTATATATACGTGAAGGAGGTCACTCAAAAACTCGTATCATGTCTTGATGACTTTCAACCTAACCGATAGCTGTGGGTCACTAGGGCTTTTGGCATTGTGTCGAGGTTAGAAGACGGAGACCGGAAACCCCTTTGTTCTTCTCAGTATGACATTACTACCTCATTCCATTCATATCAGGCTGAATGTAAGCGCTACTAACTGTGTCGCCATCAAGCGATAAGGACTTCTCAGTCGAGCTGAATGTGTAGTGATGGCCGCTTGCGCAAGAACCCTTGTTCCTTCGGTGAATACTAGTGGAGGAGAAATGTGAACGAGCAGCTGATGCAGAGCGCCATTAGGATATTTCTTGGGATTTACGGAGATCTGGGACCACAAGAAATAAAGTGTTAAAACAATGTTTGTGGAAGGTTCCGTTCTTAGTGGTGGTTTTGCCTAAAACATATCGGAGATCATTCCGGTGCTGTGGTGTGTTGTTAGACCAGTGGGCCCTCGATTTACAACGTACTGTGCCTTTCCTTTTTGCTTTCTTAAAACACTGGCTTTCTTAATATATTGTACTTGCTATACTATGCAATTTCCGCGATATTCTGCATTGCTGACATAAGTTAGCCCTACACGCAGCCTGCTTCATCCAGCGATGCGGAACAGAATCGCAGGGAGCGGCCTCGGAATCGGCTTCGGAATGAGTCATGGAGGCTCAAGTGAGCTTAGCATCCGCTGGTTGTGAAGGAACCAAAGGTACTCCCAAAACACATAAATAAGCCTCCAGACTGCCCATTATCTCGTTGGAGGAACAGACCCCAGAAATAAAATCCAGATTTTGCTGCCCGTCATGCCCATCCTCTACAACCCCCAAACGCAAGAGCCGTACCTGCGCCTCCCGGCACCGCTCAGCCACATCATCCTCACCCCGCACCGACTGCACCAACTCGAGGAGACCATCGCCGCCAAAGTCCCGCTCCTCAATGACCCGCGCATCTACCTCAATCTAACCGGCCCCCCGTACCCCTATCTCCGCGAGCATGAAGAAGAATGGGTCAAATCCAAATGCGCGGCCGCTGAGCCCGTGCTTCAGGCTCTACGCGCCGAATTCCAGACGTCGGTTCCGCAGCAACGGTACTTTGACCTGTGTCCCTTCACGGTCATTCGGGAAGTCACAGAAGAGGACCCACAGACGGGCCATCCAAAACAGGATGTCTTGATTGGCGATATTGAGATCGCGCGGTACATGTTCTACGAGTATCGCCACGACAGTCCGGAACGAGCTGAGGCGCAGCGTCTGAATAATGAGCTGCCGCCGGGGGACGAGGGGATTGCGTGGGGGATTGGCTGTGAGTACACCGGTTATTCAATCTGCATCAGGCTATTCGTATTGTGCTGGACTCTGTTCACTAATGATACTCTCGTGTTCAGACTTCCTGGCACCGTCCCACCACGGCCGAGGAATCATGACTCTGGTCCTGCGGACGCTGATCCAGGACTGGGGAGTCCCGCGGATGAACACCAAGCGACTCATGGCGTCGGCGTTTGTCGAAAATGCCGGGAGTCTCCGCGTCTTCGAGAAGAATGGTTTCGAGGTGCTCTGCACCTTGGAAGACTGGGCGCCCTACCCGGAGAACAGAGGCGGGGGGTGGAAGTCGCTTACCGTTGTTCAGTGGCGGGGTTTCTGAGAAATTGCCAGCGTGTCTTATTTGTTTCGGTTGTATACTGCTTGGAGCGTGCTTCATCACTGCTGATTGGCGATGATTAATGTCCAGGAAATCTTCAAGCTTTCAGAATTTATGTGACCTTTCTGATAGGCTTTAAGGTTTTATCCAAGCCTGTATATACAATCAAGTGCGGTGGGAAGATGACTCAACTGCAATGGCGGCTAACTAGTCACTGTACTGTATGAATGGTTATCAGTTTACCCTATCATATAGCCCCGTACAGCGGAAGTTTGTACTTCTGGCATACATCTCATGGATTTCGGAACTAGAATATAGAGTTGACGCAGATCTCCACATGAATCACCCTAATTGGTACGTTCAGTTCCCCCTTAGTATGTATCTCCACGCTACGGTAGACTCAAAAACACCTCCAGCAACTTGGGAAAGTTCGGTGTTCCGAGTCCCGTCACGGGATCCCAACTACAAATTTACCGTTAGCATCACCTTGTGAATTGAGCGAAACCGTGATGGCTACATACCCAGGAGCAGTCGAGAATCCATCCGTTCCGCAGCCGGGATTCGTCCCGTTGGTGATGTCGTTCAGCGCATCCGCATTGCGATAGAGCACCGGGTTCAGGAATCCCACAGGGCCCTTGCCGGCAGCAATGCGCTTCTCGATGATGCGGTTGATCACCGAAGAGAAGATGGGGGTACCTGAACATAGATCAGCTCTATCGTCTTCTGATGGGGTCCCAGGAGGAGGTCGGTGGTGGACAACATACTAGCGCTGGTGCCTCCCTCAAGAATGTACTCGCCCGCATTGAACATGGCGATGTTGTCACCGTTGGCGGCGACATCGGGGTATCCGCGGCCCAGTCGGTTGTAGAGCCCGCCATTCTTGCCTATGTTGGCTGCGCCCTTGTAGTATGGGTAGGGTGGGTTGTGGTTTTTGAAATACCTACGCACATTGGGTTAGTTTCGAAGGCAGGATTGGTGATTAGTTGGACTGGGGCAACTGACTCAGCGACAGCCGCCGCTTGATAGCTTGGGATAGGGTAGATGTTGCTGAAGCCGCCTCCGGAGGCATACGCGATGGAGTATGGGTCGCCGATCGGGTCGTAGGCGGCGCTCTCGCCGTCGGCGACAGTGTACCCTGGATACAGTTTTGTCGCACCGACATTGGTGACCCACGGGCAGCTGCGTTCCCCTTAGCAAAGAGACATCTTCGTGGAGGTGTACGAGGCCTACCTGTTGGGGAACGCGGGACTGAAGATGGTTCCGTTTCCAAGACATCCGTCGTCGGTATAATCGCCCGGCGGGCCCGCGACGCCGTCGTCGCCGGAGGCGATCAGGATAGAAGTACCCTGAAGACCGAGTTTGAGGAACCTAGGATATTAGATTCGTGACTTTCCTCAGGGAGGAGGGGTTTATTCGTACTCGTTGCACTGACGCTTCTGATAATATTCCGGAAGATCGTCTTCCTGCAAGCCGTAGGATATAGAGATAACGTTGGTGGGCTTGTAGGTGCCGCACATCAGCTGTCCGGTGTACCCTCCTTGGTTTGTGTCGGGGTAGACGGGGTCAAGGCCTGATGCATCGCCGCATTCGCCGTCCGCACAGTAGGTACAGTATGACTGAGGGACCTTAGTTAGCGCGGTATGTCTTGGGGAGAGGAAAGCACTTACCCCATCAAGCGCATCGAGAAAGGTGTTGAAGAACCCCGAGGTGTAGATCTCTTCACTAGCGTAGTTGTAGTCATCATTCTGGAACAATGTGATTTCCTGGGGGTAAACAATGGGGTATGCCAGCTGAAAGTCCAGGTCCGACTCTGCTCCGGCCTCATCAACCGGAACAGGTGCCTCGGCCCCGTCGATAAATGCAGGCTTGGGATGCGTGCCACTGGGAATCCAGCGTGTGAAGTTCTTGAAAAATAAATCCAGGTCTTCTTGGGCGTAGTAGTCGCCCTCCTCGAAGATCCCGAGTGAGTTCTTGGGGCTCACATCTTTGCTTGCCGCAGGAATCTTGTACAATGCCGCCACGCAAGCAGGGGTAATGGCTTCGTCACAGGTGGCAAGCGAGGAGGGGTTCGGGGTTGTTTTCTTGGCAGGCTGGTACCGCAGAGGTTTTCGGCCGGCCTGTCGCTTTCTCGAAGTCAGTGGCAGGATCACACCGGGCTTGATGTAGTCGACGTGCTGCGTGACAGACTGGGGAAGACGGTATCTAATCTTTGTCAATACAGATTCCACGTGTGGGAGAGTCAAAGAGGCTTACTGATCGGTGGCAATGGCGGTCGAACCAGTGACCGCGTTCTTGTAATGATAGTACTGGGTGTGGAGAAGAGTCTCTGCCTCTGCAGTCGTCGCGTTGAAAACAATCCAAGCCTTGTTCTTTGTCTGGGAAAGCCGAGAGCTGTCAACCCCGGCTTCGATGAGCCATTGCCTCACAGCAGTGACGGTTTCATTCGAGGGAGCAAAGGTCTCGGCCACTTTCTCTGGTGTCCAGAACTTTGCGTAGTTAGGAGAGACTGAGTCCGATCTGTTGTATCTCGTCAGTTGTGATTGACATAGGCTCGAGAAAACAACCACATACACATCCATCAAGTATTCATACCCGCGGTCGAGGTTGTTTTGAGTCAACCCGATTCGCACAATCACGTTCTCGGTCCCGTTCACACGAGCAGCCTTCTGCCACAGGGTAGAGGCGCTACTGCGCTTTTCATGGACGACATGATCAGATGCAGGGAGGGCCCCCGACAATGCCGCCAAGGACAATGCGACGAAGGAGGACAGAAACTTCATTTTGACTTGCAGCCTGACCGTGGAGATGAAACAATGGCAGTCTGACGGGAACATTTATAATCTCGTCACCTGGGCTCAGTGGGCCGGTCAATCTCCGTTTCCTCCGACGGAGGTGACATTGGTCCTGCAGAAGGGTTCATCTAGCGCCTTGATTGAATATAGCTCAATATGCCGTTTTAGTCACTTGGTGAGGATACGATAAGAATCTTGCCGTGCTGATTCGCCTATCAGGGACATGGCCCGCTTTGAGTGCTGAGACCATCTCCACTTGACCTGCATTAGTGGCCCATCACGCAAGCTTGATTGCGGCAGACAATTCACAAATGCTTAGCATAGGCTCGAGAGCAGTGCCGTTGTCTTAGACTGTTGCCAGACGGAGGATTATCTGCAACCCGTAGCAGAAGATGAGGGCGCGTTGGGAAGTTGACATACAATTTCTGGATGAATTAGTTGGTTACACTAACCACAAAATATCATTCTGCGCTCGTGGAAACATACCCGACTAGTGGCTGAGTAGGTCTGACTAGGGGTATACCAGGTTATGAAAAGCCTAAGGCGTGTTGTATCGGTCTCGCTAGACTTGAGTTGCCCTAACCGACGATCCGGCTACCGGGTACTGTATAGCCACAAAGGTGAAAAGTAGGGCTTCCCGTACACTCATCGACAAAGACCACCCTACCCAACCTCACATCAGACAACCACTTCCATCTTCAGGAAGAATATCTCTTGGGAGTAAATCACTGCTATGCTTGTTCGAAAAAAGGATGTAATAAAGAATACAAGGTGGGCGCCATGCAGCCTTTCCCGACCAGACAATAAATCAAAGACACGACGGAGTTATACAAAGAAGAACAGATACTTTGTTCAGACCTCAACAAGGCAATCATCTCCCCTGTTTATACCCTGCGTCCTGGGCTCTCCATGTGTATATAATGACCCAAAACATCAGGCTGTGACGATTTAGCCAACAGTCGCAACTCGAGAACTACGCGTAGTCCAACAACTCGACCTTCACCAAGATCCCCACCTGGGCTCTCTATTGCACCAGAGATAAGCGCGATTACACCCCGGAGAGCAATTCAGTTCAAAGATGTTGCCACCAGAGGAACGGAGACAGCAGCAGGCGGTGGTAGAATCCGTGCCCTCGGACATGGATGGTTACAGCGACTTGAAATGCGAGATTTGTCACCAGCACCAACATCCAATTCAGGGCACTTTATTCTGGCGGTGCTCGAGGTGTGGCGGGATGCACCATGACGAATGCGTCGTTTTGCAGCCAGAATTCGACGCCAATGGTCTTCCCACCAAATTTGGCTGCACCAAATGCAGAACCCCTTGGTTTCTGCGCAGCGAGCTTTGTTGCACTGGGGATTGCGGCGAAGAGAACGGGCCCGAGGGGGCCGATGTGGACGAAAGTCTTGATCTGCCGGAGCAGCATCAACCACCCGTCGCCGCAGAGGTGCACCGGGGCTGCCGGCAAGTTGGGTCTCATATTCCCATGTCCGATCGACTGGAATCATCCGACGAACACTTCATTTGCGAAGTACGCGGTCCGAGAAATATTCCATGTGACATACGAACTAGCAGCAAAGCCAAGATTAAGAGGCGCCGCCAGAGGAAGCACCTCTACTACAAATGCCCACACTGCCCTTCGCAGTACTCATGGGAGACTAGTCTTAGCCAACATCTTAGGGGCAAGCACCCAAAAGACCCTTCCAGGTGCCAGTGGTGTAGGATGTGGCTTCCGACAATAGCCGCTCGAGAGGCTCATGAAGCCAATGCGGACCGGCGTCAGCCCTGTCTTAAGTGTGGTGAGTGGTTTAGTGGATTGGATTGGCTTGAATTCCATACCGCCAGATGCCCTAGCGACACGAAATAGGGGATAAATTTGCTGCTCTGGTCAAGCAAAAGTTCAAACAAACATCACGCCAGAAGGAGTCGACTTCTTGAACATATTTAGACTTATACCATCACCAGTCAACGTCTATACAATTCGAAACTCTTACAAACACTTCATGATAGTCAGGTGGCTGTATGTATCACGGCTAAATCTTTCCTTTGCACTCAGATGAGGATCGAACTTCGATCGATCGTAAATGTCACCCTTCCGGATGACTTCAAGTCTTACAAGCTCTCCCGGGTCGATTCCATATGCTGTCAATGCGAGGGAGCACTGGAAGAAAACATGAACATAGACATACTCAGAAGCCACTCAAAGATAAATAGCGGGATGACCAAAGCGCTGTAGCTAGGCGATTGGTTTCCCTTGCTTTTTCATTGTTCTTTTTTATGTACACTAGTGTGAGCAGCCTTCGGAAAACCGTATTACTATCTCATCTACGTTGAAGAATCCGCGTCCGACTAAAGGGTTGCAACATGGATTGCTGAGAAGATTGCAAAATTGGGCTGATTCTCAATTGTGGAAGCCCTACATCTCTAGCCTAGGTTACAACCACGTCTGTCGATAATCGTCAAACGTGATTGTCGTCGCCAATATACGCCAACCGCTATTGTTGGCAGCGCGGAATCTATCTTCAGCTGCCCTCAGCACCTTAGACTTGTCTCCTTGGCTAGAGTGCTGCCATATATACGAATTGACCTTAGGTGCCAAGATACGCATCAAACTACGCGGTGCATTTAGGACTTTTACAACCTCCGTGACTCTAGTGTCTCTTCTTTTATCTTAATCTGTGGACGAAGTAAGTCAAATATGCGTTCTGCTATGCGGAACAATGTTTCGTTAGCAAGCTCAGCCGAGACTGGAGAAGCGAGATGCCCGTACCCTAGTGGCATCGCTCGTGGCGCCTCGGTCGCTGAGCACCGTCTACACCCTGATCGGGGTGGTGAGCTCGGTCGGCATGTTGATCGCGGGCCCTCTTCTCGCGGGCATGTTTCACCTGGGAATGGTGCTCGGCGACCTCTGGGTGGGTCTGCCATTCTTGGTTGCAGCCGGGTTTTACGCGCTGGTGCTTGCTGTGATCTCTGCGGTTAGGGTTGGGGCTGTGGAAAGGGAATGATATGAGCGGTGGAGAATGTGGTTCTGCATTATTCACTGGACTTTGCGATAAATTAATCCTGTTCTTTCTGTCCAACTCTACTCTCAAACCCCGATTACTTCACCTGTCCAATCGGCGAGACACCATTCGATACAAAATCCTCCGCAACATCCAGTAATCTGCCATCCGCCATGACGGCAACAGCATCTCTCCCCGGGATGAGTTGCTCCACTAACCCCCCAACTCTATGCGCCACCACAATAACAGTATGCCCCTCCTGGGTAAACTCCTCGTCGATGATCCGCTGAATCGTCACCTCCGTCTCCGCATCAAGCGCCGAAGTGACCTCATCCAGCACAACCACAGGTCTGACACCACATCCCCGCAGCACCCGCGCCTTGATCAGCGCGCGGCACAGCGCGAACAGCTGGTACTGTCCGAGGGAAAGTTCCGAGAATGATGAGACATTCCTGTCCAGCACGGTGTGTTCACTGCTGTCTTCCAGGATGTCGATGACAGTTGCCAACGCATCGTCTGCGCCGCGCGCCTCCACAGCGGAAAAATGCTTCCACAGGCCCGCTTTTCCCAACGCAAGAGCAATCATCTCGTCTGATGCGGCGGAGTCGGGGTCGAGGTTGAAGCGCAGCGTCTCTTGGGGGAAGAGAAGGGCGTCCTGTGAGACGGCGATAAAGGCGCGCTGGCGGAGGAGATCAAGTCGCACCTGTTTTATGTCGAGACCGTCGAGCTTGATGATGCCGGATTGAAGCTCCAGGAGGCGCAGGAGGGTGAGGAGCAATGTGCTCTTTCCGCTGTCATCCCACCATGCGCGTTAATGGGATGTATATCGATGGGAGGGAAAGGGGTGACTTGCCTCCCTGTCCGGCCGCAGATAACGAGCTTCTGGCCGGCGGGAATCCTCAGGCTCAGGTTCCGGAGCGCGAACGCGTTGGGTTGCGCACTGACATCGGGTGAATTGGCAGCTTTGACGAGTATCTTTGTGGGAAACACTTACTGATATGACGCAGTGACATTGTCGAATTGTATCTCTCCCTTGGAAGGCCAGTGGCCCGGAGGATCCAGCCCCCCTGCCTTCCCGCCCTCGGTCGGCGTGAACTCCTCCAGCGCTTTCAGCCTCGCGATCGCGCCCAGGGAGGTCTCCAGGTTAGTCCAGCTGACCACGAGACTGAGAAGCGTGGTGTTCGTCACGAGCATGACGTTCAGTGCGATGCCGACCTGCGCGCCGCTCACTTGTCCCCGCAACGCGACTGCCGTGGCCACGACGATCGTGGCCAGGGCAGCAGCCAGAAGATCCAAAACAAGACTCAGCCATCGCCGCAGACACAGGAGGAGGTATTCCGGCCGCTGCGCGTGGTCCACGCGCTGGATGTTATCCTGGATGGCGGCATCGGACCAGCCGTACGCGCGTATTGTTTCGAGCCCGTCGATCTGTTCCCTTGGTTAGAGGGGATACATTGTGTTTAAAGCGGGGGTGTACGCACTGATTCCAGAAAGCTGGAGAAGACGCCCGCGCGCGATTCCAGCTCCAACAAGCGGAGTTGTCGTGAGGTCCGGAGGTAGACTTCCTGTACGAAGTAGACAACAAGCCCGCACGCTGGTAGGGATACCGCGAGCCAGCTGTCGGCGATGCAGAGTAGGGTGATTTGCATTAGCAGTTTGAATATCTCTGGCTGAATGTCAGCTCGGGAATATTCTGCAGTCAGAGACTGGCGGCTTACGAGTCATGACAGTCTGGAAGGCTGTGGGAAGCTGCCTGTCGATGAGCTGGATGTCTTGACTGAATCTGGTAGGTGTCAACGTATTCTGATCGATACCCACGGAAGCTAACCCATACCTGTTCAAGGTTGAACCGTTGTCTGTATTGGAGAAGTAGGACAAAGGTGCGCTGGAAGATACTTAGTATCGTCTCGTATGTCTCATCTCAAACAGTGAGAACTGATGGTACTGACTTTGCGACTATATCCAGGAGACGCTGATGCAGCCGTTTCCCTGACTGTGGTGCGATCCGAATCACAAGAATTCTTTTGATTATCAGCACTGGAACAACGTTTTCTAAGCAACGCTAGACGTACCCCATCATGACACTAGTCGACGTCCACGACATACTCGACAAAAACAGAAATCCACACACATAGAATGCGGTATTTCTGCCATTGGACTCGGTCCACAATCGCAACCAGTACTGCGGGATGGTGATGAAGATGCCGTATGATGCGCTCGTGGCAATCAATAGAGCGAGGTTGATGGCATCGATGAATCCTAGATAGTATGCTGTATCCCGGTCAGTAATGTACTGCCTTGCGGAATATATCCTTACCATAAAGAGCGGGGTCACCAGTCTGTCTCGCAAGGTCCAACTCCGTCTCGGCTTTGGCTCGCAGTTGAGCACCAAGCTTCTCGAGATTCCCAGCCAGGACAGCATTGTTTTGCGTGTGTTGAGTGCCTGAAAACTTCTCGATGGATGCAGCTTTGATCTTCAGATTCTCGCAGCGTCCCTGGTCTAAGATCCGATGCTCACCGAGAACCACGATGTGATCCGCAGATCGGAAATATTGAGCTGTCCTGCTGTCAGCAATTAGACGCCTAAGGACGTTATCGGTAGTGTACCTGAGTTTGAGACAAGAACAGCAGTCATATTCGATGTCCTGATAAGTTCTTCTGGTCCAAAGATGTTATCAAACACCTTTGGCTCCGTCTCCCCATCCAGGCCGCTGAAAGTGTCGTCTAAGAGAAGTAGATCGCATTTGGCAAACAGTGCGCGTGCAAGGGCCTGGAGAAAATTAGCTTAATCAGTTTGGAGCAGATGCAGCAAACATACCACACGTTGTCTCTGTCCACCGGACAGATTAAGTCCACCACTGCCACACATGGTCTGATCTCCATCAGGAAGGGAGTCGAAGTCATGGGTGAGACAGCACATCTCTGTGACCTCATGATACCACTTCTCACTATCTGGAGTCCTGACCTCGGTAGCGCCAAAGATTACCTTCCTGATAGTCTCGTTGGGTAGCCACGGCTTCTGCGCACAATAAGCTATCTTCCGTGTGGACACATTGATCGATCCATGAGCAGGGACAAATTCCCCCAGGATAGCGCGCAGGAGGCTCGTCTTGCCACTCCCAGTTGCACCGGATATGATAACGAATGACCCCTTGGCTATGTTGAGGTCTATGTTCGCCAATACCGGTTGCTCGTTACCGATGCGTAGATGAGTAATTTGGATAGCAGAAGCTGCTCCCTGTGCTATCTCGCCAGTTGCCCCATTTCCAAAGGACGTGTCAGGGGTACTTTCAGCTAATATTGCACGATGAGCAGGTAGATCTTCGCGGAGTAGATAGGCTTGAATCCTTTCAAAGCCAGCGAATGCAGCCACCGCACGCGGGACGATCGTCATCACCATATTGGCTGGATGCGTGACCATGCTCAAGATAGCCATGGTGGTAAATGCCGTCTCAGTGTCCAGGGTGCTCCCGCGAGCGACCGCGATGAGAGCATAGATCACCACGGTGATCGCTGGAGAGAAGATCCCGAGCGCATTGGCTGTTGGCCCATTAGTCTCCTACTCAAGGTCTAAAAGAGATGAAAGTGTGCATAACAAACCCGAGGCATTGTAGTATACCATAACCCATCTCAGTTTGGAGGCAGCCAGTAGTTCTTCCTCTCGCAAGTCCTGAATGCGATCGGTGAGATTGTTTTGGATGCCAAGCATCTTCACTCCTTTCATCGCCCTCAGTAGAGAGCTGGTAGCACCTATCCGTTGCTGCGTAGCTGAATTCCAGGCCTTCTGCCGCGGTTGCAGGTGCTTTGCGACGAATTGGCTCATGTGCGAACAGACTAGGCAACTTTTAGCCTCGGACTCAGAGTACTACCTAGATAGCGGAAATATGCGCGCCCACGGTATATGAAGAAAAGGGGAAGGGGCCAGATCCAGCCGACCTGGCTGGCTAGAAGTCCTGTCCCGATCACCACCTCGACGACCTGAGCCCATGTTTCATGGAACATCTCTGTGATGCCATCGAGACTGTCTGCGTCAGTGCTCATGAGCGTGGTCGCCTCGCCGTTGTTGTACGCAATGCTGGGCGACTTCATGGTTTTGTCGTGGATCAGACCCACCAGCGCACTGTTCGTCATGAGCTTCAGTCGGTTGATTTGGTGTCGGTATATGGCGGTCGAGATCTGGATAGAGATATTAGTTCAGGAGGATGCTTGACTAGATGAGGGAGAGCTACAGCTAGACCACCATAGATGGCGACCGCAGACACAATGAGTCCAGCGCCACGCCCACTGGCAGCGATGGTAGGGCCCGAAGCAACGTATCTGATAGACTCTTTTATTAGAATCGGCTGAGAATAGCGAAAGCCAAGAAGGAATAGTCGTGGAATGACAGCTGCAAGAAAGGGTCCTTTGAGGCATTGGTAGAGAGCCATCGGCAAGGTCCGCTTTGTTTCGGGTTTGACTGGTCTAATTTAGCAAGATGCACATGACCATACAAGGGAGGGGACGCACGGCGCTGAGACCATGTTTCTAGAATTGATTGCCGTGTTTTTGCTGGGCTCATATCTTGGCGCAGTGGTGGCACATCTTCGTGGCTGAGAATGCTCCTGGAACCTTGTAGAAGAATGGGATTGATCCATAGAAAGAAAGTCCGGCTGATGAGGCTGCAGCGTTCCTCTGGGGAATGGTCTTTGGCCACACCGTCGAAGTCTGAACATCGAGAGGTGCAGAGCTCAATGACGAAAAGCATAATGTGCATCGAACAGCGAGTAAATACCATGTGCGAGACAGTGCCGTTCGAGCTGTCTTCGTAGATTATCTTCAGGTAACCGGCGTCGCATATAATAGCCGGGACCAAGTACACTAACGCTAGGACGGAGGGTCCATAGCATCGTTGATGCTCCTTGTATAGGAGTAAGCCTAAGCTCAGCCCAGCAGCAATAGACGCGAGAAGCGAGATCAGGATTTCAGTTTTATCTTCAATATCCGAGGTCGATACTTGGACCAAGTAGTAAGACAAAACCACAGACAGGGAAATTGCCAAGAGCTAGCATCTTGCCTACATTAATTGCTCACTCGAAGTACGAAACGGGAGGTAGTACTGACAATTTTCAGACGGCCCAGCCAGCGTGAAGGATTCCAGGTACCGGACTTACGAAGCTTCCAAAGCCTGAAGGGAACGATCAGGACAAAAAGTGAGGCACAAGTTGTGAATATGATAGGTATGAGCTGCGTGGAGCTTGGAGCCATTGTGGCTAGGGAAGACTGAGCAGACAGCCACAAACGATGTTATGATTAGTAGCATCCGAAGCTTGATCAACCAAGGTACTGTGAGCTGTGAGGGGCAGGCCCTTGGCATTTTATCTTGGCGGTCAGTCGTGCTGACGCCTTTTTAGCCCTGATTTGTGAATCCCAATCAGCTGTGGTTGGGCCGTTCAATCGAAATTAGCACTTCAATTATAAACGAAGAATATTCCATCTAAATATAGCAACATACCGGTACGGTACGGAAGACATACTCTCCGCACGGTAGCTAGAGTTTAACTAATACGACGGACTTTCATGCAGCTTGTTGGCCTTCAAGCTTTCCTGAGCAGTTCCACGTGCATTTATTTATACTACCAGATCCACCCTACATGATCATTTCCCAATTTTCACTTATCCAAGGCACGCAACAATTCACACGGACAGCTTTCATCGAGCGCATAAGAACAAGAGGCCGGAGGGAATCCATAACTAGCTGTGCCATCAGCACTAGCAAACCCCATCCGTTTCCCCGCCCAATTCCGCAATCAGCCCTAAGCCGCCTCAAAAAGCCGCCGCCTCAAAAAGCCCCCATGCGGCGCCAGAAACGCAGCATCCGGCCCAGCAAATCGACACTGAGCGGCGCATACTTGATATCCGGGGCATCCTTGAGCGCGACGAGGGTATTGGAGCAATCGTACCGCGGCGTCTGCCGGCTGGTCTGGAAGCGCGACAGCCCACTGATGACGGGCTCCTGCAGCATGGGGAGGAGCGGGTTCAACGGATTGTCCTGGTCCTCGATCTCCTGGAGCTCGCGGACCCAGTCCCAGTACGGCAGCAAGCGCAGCGAATAGCCTGCGGCGACCAAGATCTCATACGTCCGCTCCATATCCACGGAGACGGCGGGCGACGGCGGCACCAGGCAGTACGAGCGGCCGAGACTTTTCTTCCTGGCGGCGATGTGCAACGTCGCGTCGCAGACGTAGTCCACCGTGACGAACTCCATGCGCTGGTTGGGGAGATGCGGAAACGCCCCGAGGCGGATCGATCCCATGAAGAGGCGGGACACGAAGTCATCCGGATTGCCGGCGCCGTGGCGGGTGTCCCCGAGGACGAACCCGGGTCGATAAATCACGGCGGGAAGGCCGCGGTCGCGCGCGCCTCGCACCATCTGCTCGGCCACCCACTGACTGGATGCGTAGCCGATGTCGAATGCCAGGGACCCTATGTGTGGGAGCAGCGGCTCGTCCTCCAGGAGCACCCGGGTCCCATAGATGAGGCCGGTTGCGCCCCACGCGTCGAGACTGGACATGTAGTGGAAGGGTTTCCGGCGGCCTTGCGCCGCCAGCTCAAGCAGGTTCTTCGTTCCGAGAACGTTGGGCTCGAAGTGGGCCGAGTAGGGCTCGCAGTAGTTGACCTTGGCCGCGATGTGGAAAATCGCGCTGGTCCTGTCCGCCAGTTGCGTGTAGTCGCCGCCGGATAACCCGAGGTCCTTCTGCGTGATATCGCCTTCGAGGACGGTCAGCTTGTCGAGTTGATCCGCCACTCGTTCGTGGAACTCGTAACGCCGGAGAGTGTTCTCGACGCGCTGCCGGGGGGTCTGGCCGCTCTTCGCGCGCGCAAGGCAGACGACCTCCTGCACCTCCGGCATCTTGAGCAAGCGGGAGAGAAAATGCGCCCCCACGAATCCGGTGACACCTGTCAGGAAAAGACGGCCTTCCCCTGGAGCGGTCCAGTCCACGACTGAATCCCAATCCTGGGCGGACCAGGTCGGATTGATCTTCAGGTCATCGGCCAGTCGGGCATCAGCGATCCAAGTATCGGCCTCGTCGGGAGCATTGCCGCCTTCGACGAACTCGCCCAGATAGGCGACCAGCTCGTGGAGACGGGAGTTCTCCACAAGCCCGCGCATGGAGACTGTTCGGCCCGTGTGCTCGCGCAGTTTGGCTATCAGGGCCGCTGCCTGCAAGGAGGTGCCCCCCAATCGGAAGAAGTCGTCGTCTTGGGCGAAAGACGGTTTGTTGAGCAACGAAAACCAGAGGCCCTTGACGATGGCGGTGGTGTCACGGCTGTCCTTGCATTCGAACTTCTTGTGCTCGCGCTCCGTCAGGTAATTCTGAATCAAGGCCTTGCGATCAATCTTCCCATGATCGTTCAATGGGAACTCCTGGAGGAACACGATATCGCTGGGGATCATATATGCGGGCAGCCTTTCCCCCAAGTATTCGTCGAGCTCCCCGAGGCGCAGAGTATCAGCGATAGCGGGAATGACAAACGCAACGATAAACGCCCCCACGCTCACGCCGCTGCCCAGTACCTGCACGACGACAGCGCCCACGAGCTGACCGCTAGACAGTAGCATGTGCTGGATCTCTTCCAGCTCCACGCGAAACCCGCCCTGCTTGACTTGAAAGTCCGTGCGTCCGGCGAATTCGAAAACATCGGCCTCGCCTTTTCTCCATTTGGCTCGGTCACCGCTGCGATAGTACCGGAGGCCGTCTTCCAGCTGCACAAACCGATGCTGATTCTCTTCGGGGAGGCCAACGTATCCGCGTGTCAAGCCGGGCCCAGTGAGGAGAATCTCACCGACGACGCCGGGGGCGGTGATGGGACTGAGGTCTTCATTCACCAGCCGAAGGCGTCCATCCCCGAAAGGCCTTCCGAGACCGATGTTATCGTACTGGAACTCTGACGGGGTGACCAGATGCATCGCGGCATGGGTCGTGATCTCGGTAGGACCGTAGGTGTTCCAAAGATGTTTCGGGGGCAGAGACGAGTTTACGACAGCCTTGACTGCTCCGACGTTGGCAATGCTTCCGCCGATCAAAAGGTGCTTGACGTTGTGGAAGGTGGTCGGGCAGGCGTGGGCGATAATGCCGAACAAGGTGGAGGTCAGATAGATGACCGAAAGTCTCTTCTCCACGATAAATTCGCGGAAGGTGAAGGGGTCCGTGACCACCATGCGAGGCACGATCACGAGCGTCGCTCCTCCGACGAGGCCGGAGAAGATCTCAAACAGGGAGATGTCAAAGCCGGGGTTGTTGATGATGGCGACTTTGTCGGTCGGGTCGAGGATTCCGAGCGGGCTCTTGGTTGCCAAATGCAGAATGCTTCGCTCCATGACCTGCACCGGCTTGGGCTTTCCGGTAGATCCAGAGGTGTACAGGATGTGGCTGCGATATTTGGGGTTTTGGCACTCCACGAATGAGTCTTGGGTGCCATCGACACCATCGGCGAAGCCAGCACGGTCCGCGTCACGGGTCTGCTTTTCTTCGTTGCGGACTGTGATGGGAAGGACCGTGAATTCACTATCCAGGAGAATGCCTTCCGAGTCCGAAAGAACATATCTTGCACCCACATCTTTCAGGATACTCATGAGGCGAAGCCTGGGCGTACATGTAATCAAGGGAATACATGTCAAGCCAAGGCGTATGAGAGCCAGCTGAGCGACAATGACCTCAATGCCGAGATTCGCCAGGATGCAAACTGGCTCTTCATGTTTGAGGTCGTGCTCCTCGAGCATGGAGGTGAGGCTGGCTACTTTGTGCTCGAGCTGCTGATATGACAGCTTGCGGTCGCCATCTTCGACAGCCGTCGCCTGAGGGCTTTTCGCGGTGTGGGATAAAATGATCCTGTCGATGGTGGATTGAAACAAGGAACCCATTTTCGATTTCGGTCTGAAATAAGATCTCGAGCTGTTTTGTTCAATTTTGGGTTCTCCGCTCTGCTTTGGATTTGGAATTCGTAATGATCAATGTGAAAAAGTCCACAGCTTTGAACAAAGGCTGAGGAACAAGTCCACTTATACCTTTGCCCTCAGCCTCGAGATTTGCGGGGTATACACCTTTTCAAGATACGCGATGCTTCTCTTCGGCTCAAAACCTGAAATTCCCTCTCTCTGTTTCAATTCAACAGTCTACCAGTCATAGGATAACTGTGTTACGTGTCACATGTCTAAATAGCATCATTGTAGCATCGGGTTGACAGGTTGACAAGCTCCATGGTTTGTGGCGTGCCATGACGCGGTGCATGGCCTTCGAGGTCTGATCTAATAACCAGAGCGATACGACAACAAACAGAAAATGAACTCAAGACTTGACTGTAGTGCTTGCATATATCACCACTCAAGCCACAACATTGAAGCCATCCAAACTGTTTCATTCCACAAACCTTGTGTGTACAGCAAACTTTCATAGTCCTACTGAAACAAAGGGCCATGCCAGGAAGGGCAAGACCCGTCGGCTGGCCCTGACTTTGCCGCATCCAGACTTTGGTACAAGGTAGGACACGTGTGGGCAATTCCGAATCCTACGGGCAAAAGCGTTCACATGTTTTTGTTTATTGATTGAATGGCTAGCCAGGTTCCATGGTCCGACACCGGGAAGTCGGGATTCTCCATGCTCCTC